GTGGTGCTGAACAGGACCGGGGGAGATCCCTGCCCTCCCAAACATCAGCCAAATGTTGCATTTTTTCGACGGTTTCAGGTTCAATGTGAAGCTATAGTCTTGTAGGGCTGATCTAAGGATTTTTAGCTCAGTCCCGTACCCCCTCGGGTAGCGGCCTAATTCTGTACGGCTTGCTCGCTAGGTATTTTGGGAACTACGGTATCTCGTGTGTTCGGTTCATTTTAGTTGTTGTACTAGGGGCTAATCTCTCAGGATCTGCGAAAATACCGAATCTAGGGGGTAAATCTTCACACTGAAAAGTGTTAAAATGTAAATTAAACCAATTCTAGCACCAATTAGCGGAATTTTGTGGGTTTCAATAGCTGGAAAGTATACATAATACGAAAACGAAGCAAATCCAGAAGTAATCTCGTTAGCTAAAACGAGTCGTTTTGAAACAGAGGGTTTTGGGTTCCAAGAAAAGTGCTGAGTTCTCTGATGTGGCAAAAAGGATAAAATTCCCGAATCTCAGCAACATGGGAAAGGTTTCAACTTTCGAAATTTTAAACACAAATTTATGGGGAGTTGGGAAATTCGAATAGTTCAAGTTGTGGCAAAAGATATCAGGAATAAAGTTAATATTTATAAAAGACTCTAAGGTAATTTATTCTTGCGGGGTTCCTAAAAAACCATCCACAATTGAAGGTTCCAGAAAATCCAACTTTTTCCCCCTGCTCCTTGACCATCAAGTTCCGGCCATCCCTCCACCACCCCCCGGAGGTCAGTGGAATGCATCGATACACGACCCCTCAACCCCGACCGGCCGGAAAGTGCCGAATGAGTTATCGATAAAGTGACGCAGCAACGAGCAGGATGACAACTGACGCAAGAGAGGAACGGAGCAGCGCCCACCCAGTGGCCCTTATTCCCTTCCTTCCACCACACCACCACCACGATGAAGCCAGAGAAAGACGGCCAGCAACGGCTTGCTCCGACACCGTGGTGACGTTGGCATAAGTGCCAAGATTCTCCCCTGCCCCCAGCAAAAGCCATATGGATTGACACTTTGGGTTGGGGATCTTTAGACAGGGCATCGCGAAGCTGGAAAAAAGGGGGCTTCATTTCGGTCTATGGGACACTGGAGTTGAGCGAATATGATGAGGAAGGAGAGGGAGAGGAAGGTGTCAGCTCTTTAAAAAGGTTGTTGCGATGGAAGTATGCTGTCTGAGGCCGATATATGACAAATAAAATAGTCAATGAGCGCCACCATGATTATATAAAGGAACGATGGCGAAATCGTGGCAGATGCTAGGCAATATAAATACGGAAAAGACGGTAATGGCATTCAATCTTGCAGTAAACTGCGGTGCGAGGTCTGAAAAACACGAAAACACTAAAAATTTTCCGCGAAATAAGAATTGAGGAAACCTTTGCGAGTGTTGTGTAAATCGAGAAATATACAGTAAACCGCATTAATAGATGATATGCAACTTATATAGAAAATAGAAAAAGTTCGGGAACAGTTTTTAAGATAACAGAAGAACACGTCTGAGAAAATACAAGATAAATCAATGACCAAGTAAAATTGCTCAGAAACACATTGGATTGATTCTCACCGGGAGGTCGAATTTAAATTTTGAAAGGTCTTGCCGGGTTCTGGGATGACCGTAAACAATTGAAAAGATGGAAGACAACAAAAACAAAAAAGGTAACTGTTGTCTTTTCAGGGCTTTTCGAGGTTTGGGTCCCGTTTAGTTTGATTTTCAAGACAAAGCCTGATATTCTACCCTGATTTTTCACACACTCATCATAAAACTTACTAATTTTTAGAACGCAACATGAATGCCAAAAATGTCAGCGTAGGTGGACCCTAGAAATCAAGCGGAACGTGGCCAAGAGGACATGGGGGTCGAACGATCAGATCACAGGCAGCCCCGAATCCGTAGGGAGGAGAAGGGGAAAAAAGGGGTAAGACAGATGGGTGGTAAGCTGATCGGCGTGTTTAGACCCGGTATCCATGATTTGTTCCTTTACAATCGCCAAACGATGTCCACCCATCGAACGGTTCGAGGATGAGGTCAAGCAATACACAAAAGTGATGTGGATAATCGCGTTTGGGAATTGATATTGCTAAGGGACTCGCAGGTAATATACCTTATCCTTATAGCCTAACATAAGCCAACTTTGGATTGGAAATCGATCAGTTTTATCCTGTAAAAATGCTATGAAAAAGTTCAGCTGCTATAAACATAAAAGATTATTCTACTATATTACTACAATGTTGAAGCAGATATGCAAGTTTTGGGCAAATTCCTTCAGTTTCTGAGTTCCGCTAATACAGTTGACCAGAGGGAGAGAAATTGGGCCGGAAGCACCGTATTTCCTCTAATATAGCCCCCGCCCTCTCTAATAAACCTCGCAAAAAAATTTGTTTCGAAGTGGTCTTTAAAAAGTAAAAATGCTAAAAACGTTTCTGCTTAAGCTTCCAACTGTGTTCCTGGATGGTTGTGCGCAGTTTGAACTGCTAGAAATCATTGTGATTGCTCAAAATCACGACAAATATATCCGTCCCTCTAATACAACCCCACCCCTCAGGTGATTGAAAAAACATAGTCCCCGGTGTTATATTAAAGAAAATACGGTAGTTATTCCCGAATGCAAACATTGCCCCCTAAGGAAGAAGGTCGAAATCCGCATACAATTTGTATAGGGAATGCTAGGGAAAAAGTATTACCCGGTGAAAATGTTATTGCAGTTTTACGGGAGCATGACTTTTCGGAGCTGTGAATTTGTTCCTGCATATACCCTTCACCATAACATCTCTAGTAAGCTAACCGAATGTCTTCCATTCTGTTTTTAGCTGATTACAGAGTCACTGCTTAACCCAACAAATCATATTTCAAATCCAAAAGCGGTCTAGTCAAGTATCCGGGCATCCGATAAATCCGGTGGATGACGAGTAGACCAATTAATTTCACAGGCGGAAAAGCGACAGCGGGAAGATAATACGCGTGATTAGGTGGCTGGTTCGTCGGAGGGGCCCAGAGGGGTGTTGAGGGGCCAGTTGGCCACTCACTGCCCCCCTTTCACCGGGTGGGGTCTCTATAGGACGAATCTAGGTATATGGGTCTCCTCCGTCCGGGTTGGGGCTCCTCAGAGAGTGGCCAAACCACCGGCTAGTGTAAACGAAATTCGGAGCGCCAGCTGGCCACTGGCATATGCGGGGCGCTTGATCGGCCGCAGAGTGGCAGCCGCATTTATCTAACGGCACTGATGGCCCCGGAAACCCATATCAAAACAATCACGCCTGGTTTGGGGGAGAAACGGGAGGGGTGGGATTTTCTAAATCAAGTTATTTATAGATTTTGGGCTATTTCAAGGTAAGGCTAACTTTCAGGGATCAGGAAAGCCCATTAGATCAGGGCTCATCTATAATTGGCAACGAGCCAACCGGAAATGCCAAAGCAAAAAATGGGCAGAGAGGGAGGTGAGGCAGGAGGGAGCAGAGCAGATTCATGCTAATTTTAGAAACCAGCGCGTTTTATGTTAATTTCTGGGCTTTCGTGAACCCTGTAAAAAGCGTCAAACTCCATTTTCAATCCCATTTTGAAGGGGGCTCGAGCGATCTTATAGCGTGAGAAACCGATGATTCGCTGATAAATCTCTTCAATGGATTTAAGTCACTAAAAAATCTGAAACGACGTTCTTAAGCGACTGATTTCAACTACATATCAGAGCCCAAAATCTTTCACTGCGATTTGGGAGCCGTAAATCCGTTAACCAGTCCGATACAAACAGCTGGGCGGCAATACCCCAATTGGGAATACCAACCATCACAAATTACAGCCCAAATTTCCATCTACAAAATACTAATCCGGATAATCAAACAGTGTGGGGAATACTTTTAATTTGCGGATTGCCGGAGAAAGCATCGAGAAAATTAGGGTCCATGTTCTAAGGTTATAAATGACCAGATGTGGGGCATCTGGCGTGTATCCTTTATTAATAGCCATGGAAGAGAGCACTAATAGATATTCTGAAGTACATATATTGACATATAAATCGACAATAACTAAAAACAAAATATCCAACAAAAAAAACAGTTCGAATTGTTGCGCCTGTCATGCAAACATCAAACCCAAAAAAACTGGCAGCATCACTTTGCCCAGGTGAGGATCTCCAATAGGGAAGAAAAGCGTGGTCCAAAGAGAGCTCTAAAGAGATCTAAAGACTCTCTAGGCCCTCAGCCAGCTTCCAGAGGAGACAATTGCTACGCCGCTATCCCATTCATCATCCCCCATCCGTCAACTCGCAAAATTGCTGATATTTTTGAGTCGAATCGGGGAAAGGGGGAGCAGCTATAAAAAAAGCTTGTCCTTCCACCTCGTCCGTTGCCAATTATCTGCTACCCTTTACCCATACCTTCCATCCCTCCATGGTAATGACTTCTTCCTCCTCATCTCCCTCATCCTCCCCTTAAAGGGCCCACCAAATTGTTCTCAACTTTTGCACCCACCCCCATAGATCCAGGGCCAGCCTCACAAAAGAAGTTTTTCGACGCAATTTCATCAGGCTTTTTATAATTATTCGCTGACGGCCAGCTGTTGAGCGCTTGGCACCCTTTTTCTGGATCGATATTTGTGCTGAACGAATGGTTAATTAACAGTTCCTGGGGTAAGTGTAAAAGCACCTGTTCGGGAGGTTGTGGTTTCCATGTTTTCTGGGCTTAGGATTTTTTGGTTGGTAATAGGAATTTGACGTTCAGTGCCAGAAAGGTGTTTCTTTCTGTTGTAGAAAAATGTTTATGCCGACTAAATTTAGATTTTAAATGTTTAAAATTCATTTTTTGAAGATTTCTACCATCCGTTACCCAGGGTGTCTGCGCGGAGGTGGGGAAAGCCCGAAGATTTGCATACGTGTAAACATCTGACTGAATGCGCGGACGTGAGTCATGTTTTGGCCAAACATCCACACGGGGGTCTAGGCGCCCCAGGGCCCATTTCTGTAGCGGCATGATAGCGATGGTATTCTTGCTGTTACTTTCGGCTTGTTTCTCGTCGACGTTGGCGACAATTAAATGTCGTACGAGTCAGGGTGGCATATTTGCGGAATGTTATACTGGATGGTGCAAGACGTTTATTAATACGGAGGGAAAGGTGGGTATTTTTCTGTGAAGACATTTCATGATTTACAACCGAGATCAAGGTTTATTAATTAGCCAACGCTTATACCCTTGATTTAATTTTTTCAGATGGAACTTGGCTGCGATATCGGTGGTGACTGCGCGAAACTTATGGGCCCATATTCGCAACAACATCAGGTAGTAACACCTCCCACCCTATAAGCCATCATTACAGGCCCTCGAAGACCGTTGTCGCAGCTTTTCCGGCCGCACGTTTTGCTGCTGTAATTACGACCTATGCAACGTGGTCCCCAACGGCAGTCCCACCGCCACGGCCCCCATTTTTGGTCTGATGTTATTGATATATTCACTATGGTAATAAAGAACTTTTAGATTTGAATCTACTCCCTCCATTCTTTTTTCCAAAAAAAAAATCATAAATCATGCAATTTCGGGTTCAAAAAAACTTGATCTCCATTTTTGGGGGCCAGTTGTTATGCTGGGACACGCGGGGTTCTCGTGAGAATTTCGGGCCATTCGATGCCCAATTACTGCCTTTGAAATGTAGCTGGTACCGCTTTTCTGACGCGCACTTTTGCGTCTAGCGTCCAAAAATGGATATTGAGATGTGGACCGTGTAGATCAAGTTATCCTACTATATATAAAGAAATAGCGTTTGTGTGTGTGTTTGATACTTTGCATGCAACTTCCGTCAGTTTGTTCCAGTAGTATCTTAATAGGGGAGCAAATTAAGGGTATGTTTGATACGCCATAAGATGTGTAATGGTGCCGATTCGACTGCACATATGACGTATTTTTCAAAACTTGCTTATTTGGACATTAAAATTAGTTTTTCTAAAAGTCTGAGCTATCCTCTTTGTTAGGAATCAATTAGCATACACCGGAAGCGACGGTGGCTTATAAAAATTAAGAGAGGGCGCGCTTTTTATTTTTTTTTTCATGCTAGAATTCGGAAAGAAACATGGAAATTGAACACTTTCACAGGTCCTAGAAGGGGCCAGAGTTGAAAAGCCGCGAAGCGTTTGTTGGTGTTTTATTTTTAAATGTGAAAAGTGATAAGAATGCTCGTATTTTGTTGGGAAACCTTAGCTTACTAAAACACATCGAAATATTGAAAAGTTAGGTTATTTTGGGATAAACAATGATACAAAAATTGATAAGATCCCTCAATATTCAAAAAATCTAATCCAGTCGCTCGACCACGGTCATGTAAAGAGTGTGTCCCGGCGTGGTTTGCAGAGAAAGCGCATCAGCGACGGTGATTCTTGGATTCAACATCACGTTTGGATCCATCCCGAACGTCAAGCTAAAGTAGCTCCATTAAGTTGCATATTAAACTTTTAATCCTGTTTTATTATGCTGAAAAGCTCACAAAAAGCTATGCTTCTTGATGTTGTAGTAAAAGGCGACAAATTTGTAGATCTCAGACACCAGGGTTGTGCCAACACAGAGGATATTGATTGTCTAAAATAAATCGTAATTTTACTATAGAATTGTATAAGTGATAATCTGGCATCGGCGTACTGTATCGTAAATTTAGAAAAACGGCAGTTGGAAAGAAAAGCTAGGCACTTATGCACTTTTTACGTTTAGTGGAGCCGGATGGTAATCCGGGGAAAGTATGTTTAGTCGCGGTCGGTAAGTCAGAGGTTTTGGTTCTGCAGAAATATAGGTGCAAAAGCCCCAAACACTACCTATATGCTCAATAAGACAATTCTGGACTGCAAAAATCACCACAAGAAAGCTCTACCCACCTCATGAGACGAAATCCTTATATGCACGTCCGGCTGAACAAATCCAACAAGAAAAGGCCGGATAGCGTCCAGAACGGACATGTTTGAAATGACAACCAGATAGGGGGTCAGAACCAGGTACAGCTAATTGAAGGGGCGGGTCCTTGTTATAATAAGAAAAGAGGGACCAATGCGCAACACTCCCTTCCCCTCCCCCCAGATCCCACGCCCCTCCTTCTAAAAATTCACATCCTGAGATTAGGGCCAAAACTCAGCCCAGAAAATCATATAAAACTCTGGTCTACTAATCCGCAGTGGTAGGGTAAGCCTCTCTGATCCACGATGGACAGGTGCGTCTGCAAACTTGAAGGGCAGATTGCATGCACTCGACATTTTTGTTATTTATTGAATACAACATAGGCTGGAAAGAGCAAAGCAATCGGCTTTGTTACCTTTCAAGGCACTTAAGGAATAAGATCGTGCAATCATTTTTTTGTATAAAGGTCTCGAAGCAATGGGAGAAAAAATGTTTAGAAAAGCTGAGGTAAAATGTGTCATTCAAAATTCACGAGGCATTCAATAAAATCTACATTGTCAGAGATACATTGTCAAGGATTGAGAATACATAAGCAAATAAAAGTATTAAAAACAATCACTTTCGATCCTATTTAAATATATTTTTTGGGCTTTGGAAAGAATGGTAAAACATATAATTTCTCAGTTTTGCTTGGAAGAACTCGGTTCCGCATTGGCCGAGGTCTCATCGTCTTGATCATAGACGATGCGACTAGTAAAAAAATCATTGTTATTAGAGCTTAAAACTCACTTGTAAAGCCCACGAAGCACATAGACTTTTGCCAGGATAAGGGCTTCGTCTAGCTTATTCGGGTCATCCCTCCAGGCATCCTCAACCGACTTGCTCATTGGGATAAAGGGGCCACCGGGGTAATATTGCAATCTGAAACTACAAGTTATAGCAATTATCTTAGCTTTACGGTTTTGGTTCCCTACAATGATGCAAGGTATCTTACCCAAAAGAAGTTCCAGGGAGGCCAATAGCCTGAGAAACTTTTTGGCAAACGTCATAGATGCGCAATTCGTATGGGAAGCCACCCCAGAGAGTGAGAATCGATTCCGGAGTCTAGAAAAACAGAATCGTCAATAATTTGCAACTTCAATTAGTTAAATAACCAAAAAACCTCAACTTTGAAACGAAAACGAGAAACGAGAAACTCACCGTTGGCTTAACGTATTCAATGCGAAACCTGACATTTCGAACCCCAGGCTGATGGGGAGTAGCTTGCGCTGTGATCATATTTAAAGAATATTTGAGTAGCTAGCCAGGACGGTAGATGCTAATGAATCCAGAGATGTGAGGCTCCTGTTTGTGCGGGCAGCTCGCGTTTATTTTTGTTGTACGGTCTCTGATTCAGCTGTAGATAGTGGTCACATCTGGGGGGTCTCCTTCTCCTCCTCCTCCTCTCTCTTGCTCCTCTTAAAAGGGAGTTCCGGTCGGAGATGCTTTGCATCGGGCTCTTGGTCTTGTCGATGGTATGTCACCGCTGGAAATATGGAATTGTATAAACATTGGCTAATAGGGCAGGGTGTAAAGGGGGCCGCGCGCACATGTTTAGGAAAATCATTGAATTTTACAGTACCCCTAATTTTCTGGGTGTTTGATTGGGGCGCATGTTTGGATGATTCGTTTATGTATTATTTTGCATAAAAATCCTACGGTAAATGCCGTTGCTCACATTTTCAAATCTCAAGAGGTATTCATGCTCAAAATTTGTAGTGTGTTTGATTTAAAGGCCCCTTAAAAATTCCAGTTCAAAGTTTCCACCTACAGCTACTTGTTACTTCTTTGACAAGACTGTTTTTATTCTCCAAAAATGCTCAAGTTATTCTTTGTTTCTTTTTTTAAATTGTGGAGATATTCTCTCCGTCTCTCTCAAATGCTTGGATTTATCAGGCAATAAAAAAACGGGTAAGGCACAGTATCGGAATGGAGTGAAAACGCTCTAACGGGGCTAGCGATCGGTAAAGCTGGGCCATAAGAAAAAAAGAAAACAACTATTATATACACGTGGGGGAGGGGGAGGGGGGTGGTGGCAGGACGCGGGGTACCCAACTCTTTAGCAGTGGCTGCAAAATTTCGATGTTACCAAAAAGAAACCGGAAATGATAGGCAACAATTTTTTGTGAAATTTCTGGGTATGGTGAGCTGTATCGGTTAGCAGATAGGGTTTGGTGAGCACGCGGAAAATGAATAGACGGATAGGGCGGATCACAATTAAAATGTAAAAACTAGTCTGACTGGGCCCGTTTGGGCAAGTTTTCCGTATGAACATCGGGAGGTTTTGGGGTGCCGTTTAATTCCGGGAGGTGCCGGGCTCGGCGTCTTTCCATTTGTGGATGTCTTCCATGTAGACGTCGGGTCGGAGTTGGTTGCGTAAGCCACCAAGCATTTGATAGGTTACCTGTAATGAGAAGAAAGTGTAAATTTTTTCGAAGTGTTTAGGGAGTTTTAGGCAGTGGTCTAAAATTTCTTACTTGCGCAGTCATCATAAATGGTCGAAGGACGGTTGGTGTAGCAAAACGAGCCCACGATCTGAAAGGTATATTTATAAGTAGATTTTTTATCAGGTTCGTGCTATGTTATACTTTCGTTTTTGACCTACCTAATAGCCGATTGCCCACTTGCTCGATTTTCCTGGCTAGCATGTTCGAGGTCTTCTCGAGTTTGACGGACACCCTATAAAAATAGCCTATATTTTAGTGATGTAGCTCACATCTCGAACAATATCGTAAGCTCGTTGAGTGGCTTGTCGCAGATCAGCAGGAGCTGCTTGGGACGATGCTGGAAACCTTTGGTTTCATGTTGGTTCTGTCGATATACCTATCGCCTTCTGAGATCTTCCAGTAATGTGTGCTTCTCCGGGATGAACCTCGTGGAATACGGTTTCGGTTGCGTACTAAGATAAAGTATAAATAAGATATGATTAGAGTATTATACCTGGACAGCTCCAACAAACGTTTGTGCCAACTCAACAACGGCAGCTGCTGTGCTGGTCCCGAAGCTACCAGCTCCTCGTTGGATCCCCTTAACGAGCCGACCATCTTCCTTTCGCATCTCATTGACCGGCATCCAGAATAGATCGTAGAAGCCACGAGCTAGAAAGCAGTTGACATCAATGGCTGCCAACTTACAGATATCCACCAAAGGACTAATCGGGCCGCAAGAAGCCAACACATTCGGGAAATGTTTGACGATGTCCTCGCTCCACTCATCGATGGCGTACTGTAAGGGATTCACGTATATAACGTCATTTGACAATTTACATACCTGAATGCAGCGATCAAATCCGAGCAGCCCATTTCGGCAGTGCAATTCCTTGAGCACGATTTCGGTACGATTCAGCTTGACCAGTCCTTTCAAGGCTCCGAGCATAGCACCTATTACGAAAACTATGGCAAAAAAACTTTAATCACCAACCATCTTTCTCGTAGTTGATTTTCTTTCCCTGATAATCGATGTAGAAGGTCGCGGCTGGGGAGAAAACGAACTCTCTAAAACTCATAGATCAGTTTTCTGCAACTCCGACTCACTTGAAATACGTCGTAAGTTTTTGCGGCTCTGGTGCAGGCTCATCGACTTGAGTGGTCATGTCATCAGCAGGCTCATCTTGGTTTAGATCGTGGCTCGAGCCGACTAAATGGATATCGTAGTCTGAATTTGTCGCATTTACCTTGATCGCTGAGTTCCAATAGATTTTCTCCAGATGAATCTGCCTCGTCGTTGTCGTCATACAGCGGCTGTATCGAACCGTCCATCGTGCTTCTCATAAGAATATCATCTACAGATTGGCGGTGTTGAACCGGTGTTGGTTGTGAGAAGCTGCGCAACAGAGGTCCTTGTCCTTGGTTGTTTTCGCTAAATTTGGTCCATTTTATTCGATCCTTTTTGATTAAACGAGACACTTTGTATTTTTCATTAGTGCAAGAGACTTACGAAACTGATTGAGCTGCCCAATCTCCAAGCATATCTCCACTGTCACCAATGATGTTAGGATCCTCTTCATCGTCAGAGCCAGTTGCTTAAAAAATTCGATATATTGATGAAAGCTTATTTACGTAATGTTTCGGACAGAGCGCTGAACACGAATGGTGGGGGTTCTTCGCGTTGAGGGGTTCGGTCATGACAGAATGCTAAATAATATTCGGATTACAGGTATTATTTATATTACCCATTGAGTCAGTCATTATCGGATCCATATTGATTGGTCTTCGGCCTTGGAAGCCGTTTGTCACTTCTTCCAATGGGGAGAGGTCGGCTAAATATAAAAATAACATCCAAATGGCTTCTAAAATTTTACCGTATGGATTTGGTCCAATCGGGCTTGGAGTCAACGGTTCCTTACTGAGAGTCGGATATAGCCGACCTCCATTCTGCTCACCAGGAGGCCGACATGGGACCTCGATCACCGGCTGTTTCTTTTCGGGCAAGCCCACTAAAAATAGGTTCTTGAAAACGAAATGACACTAACTATTGCTAGGCAACCTAATTCCCTTCGAAACGCTCAATGAAAATTCTTCTAAGAAGTCGAGCGTGAATTGATCGATGTTGACACGGACTGGCAGGAGGGACACCTAAGAAAAATTGTAATTAGATTTTTCGGTAATACCCTAAGTTTTCCTTCGCATTTGTGTGATTCCGCGATCCTGATGGCAAGCATTGGGGCTAGGGTTCGACGAGGACGTTCAATGGTGAAGTACTAAATTTTTTGCGTAATTTTTTAAAATAAGTATTGCTACCTGGTAGACCATTTCATTAATGTCGCTAGTTTTCAGCCGATCTTTGACCGTAATATCTTGAATGGTCGCCAGTGTCATCCCCATCATAGGTGCTCTTGCATCGAATAGTTGGTGTAACAATTGAATCTTAAGAGATTTTTGTATTTCATAGGTTCGTAAGCGTCATACCTTGGATAGTGTCAACACCACAGCCACTGAATGATCGCGATGAGGTCCACCCTTTTCCTCTTTCTTCAGGCTTTGCCCACGTCCTTGACCGTCTCGGTATTCAAGCATACTGTAGGCTCTCGGGCCATTCCAGTGCTCTCCTTATTCAAATTATAGATTCTCTAGACACCGCTTACCAAGATCATTTCCTCCAAATAGATGCACCTCAACGCTAACGTCTTTCAAATGACAACGACAGATCGGTAGCGGATAGTTTGGTGGTGTTGCTAAAGCTATTTTTTATGTATTGGATCCAGTTTTTTCTACCTAGCACCCCTTGGGCTCGATTTTCGCCGGCCTGGCTGAAATACTCGCGTTCCGGTGAGATACCGGTGTCCTCAGCGGATTGACCCGGGATTAGGGCGCGGATTCGCGGTTCGCCGGATGATCCCTGAAACTATTTTGAGGCATAGAAAGTAATCGAAACCACAATGCCCGCTCCGATGATATCATCAACCATGCAGAATTCATCGTCAGTAGAAATTGATGTGTGGCGGGTGTGGTAGTTCTCGGACTCTACCCGTTGGCGATGACCGTTGTGAGGTTTTGAGTCCTAAATAGTGCCCCATATTTGCGAGTTTGCATAATTTGAGCGAATTCCAGAAATGAAAACCTACCCAAGAGCCAACAGCATCTTCAAAAAGCGTATCAAGAGCTTCTCTGCCGACCGGAATTCCAACATTTCCTCCATCCAGATCTTCTTCCATAGCGCTCGCCATCATTTTCTAATTTTATTAATTTTAGGCGGTTGAGAAGGTGCCCACCTCAAGCTGTTGGGCCTTTTCTGTAGGAAGTGGAATATCTTTAGGCTTGTTTGAAGAGGGACGACTCCACGTTGATTCACCAGCTTCCGAGCGGCCCTAAACCATTAAATTTTTCTATAAGCCCTAGTAAAAAATTTCATCTACTTGACTCATTGAATCATTGAACGTTTTCTGATCCGGCTGGAAATGCCCGTCCCACTTCGAACCCTTGATTTCCGGTTTCCGGTCTTAACCGCATGTATTTTTACCAACCTCGTCAATAACAGTATTCCGTTCTTCTTCTTCCTCAGCCTCAACTTCTTCCTCATTCATTGGGATTGGCTTGATCGCGTCCGACTCGGAGAACTCGCCGGCCATGTTGATCAGCGTCACCAACGAATCTTCACAAAGCCAGATCTTAAAAGTCCCAAATATACATAATTTTTTATTATGATTCCTACTTTCAGCATATCATTAGTGCATCGAACGTCGAATTGGGGGATCCTCTGGCTGGTCTGCGATGGAGCACCAAGCCTCACTTCCAGTTGGAACATCTCTAGGGCCACTATTTGGAAGAAGCCGTTCGATTGGACTTTTTCGGCGTCACCAGCAAACCGTGCGTTCTGAAACGAGTGAAATAATTTTGGTTTGTTCAAAAACATTTTTTTGAAGTTTGTCACTAAATAAAGAAAACAGGCGTACCTTCTTCACTGTTTGGTTCGTCATAAACACACGAGTTCGTTCGAAAAGGCAGAGAAGTTCCAGGGAACAATCGGATTGAAGGGATCCACAATAGAGGTCGGCTTGTCCCAGCCCCAGTCTTAGCTTCAATGGGCTATCCTTGGTGATATCGGAATGATCGTAAGCGAGTACGACTTCATCCAGGTTGAGATGGAATTCGGTTTGGACCTAGATTACTGTATGGCTTCTACTTAATGACATACCTTTGGCATTTCATAACCGGGAATGTGGTAGTCAGTCAATGTGAATAGAGCTGACACTTGCGTGGCCCACAGATGGCCAGCATCACGGAATGGATGGAGATTCATTTGGAGCTGTCGTGTTGAAACTGTCAGCATCGTATCCTAAGGCAAAGGTAAGGTACAATACTAACGACGTACCTTGACATCGTCACGATTCCTCAAATTCAACTTCACAGCGATTCCGATGCAATCTTCGCTGTTCAAATTTGCAAGTGTCTGATCGTTGATACGCTCAACAACCGTATCGGCACGACTATGCTTTCCGAAATCCCTTTCCGCCACGTCATTCGGAGAATTAGCGTTTTCTGGAAGGTTTGGTCTCACCGTAAAAGGTTTTTAGAACTCACTATTATGCGCCAATGTCACGGCGGTAGTTGTGAAGTAGAAGTAGGTGAGAAGCGGATTGCCGTGGAATCCATATAGCAGGTACAGGGCCGGTGAATCCATATGGGCAATGACTTGCGCTTTACCTCCCTCGACATTGCGTCGATTCTAAAAAGCTGTCATTTTAGCAAGTAATTTTCCTTCCGACCTCCGTGGCTACCGTTCCCAATACAAAAGTCGTCTTGTTGGAAGAGAACGACAGGGCAAAGAGGTGGTTTTTCGACCGATCGATATCTTCGACCGGTTCATGAATGTCGGATTCGGTATCGTCATCTTCTTCGAGTCCTAAATAATATTACAAAACAAATTTGATTGCGTACCGGTGGATCTGAAATTCTTAAAGGTCTCGGTGGAATGGGAGTCGGATCTCGATAATCTTGGCGATGACGGCAACCACAAGGGAAGATCGTTCACCTAAAATGCCATAGACCTTTTCTACGGAATTATTCATACCAAGCGATTATATAGCAGTTCCAAGAATTTATGACTCGGGATATGAGCTTGGAGGGTTGGGGCCGAAATCGCGATCAGGGCCCGGGCCTTTTGGTTGCAATCGTTGGACCAGTTGATCATCTGCTTTCGAGTGCCAGGGCGGATGATGTTGCACTATTTATAACGTAGCTGCTATTAAAGCATAACTTACCATGGTATCATAGCTGACTGGCTCGTTCTCCTCATCGATATCATCGAGGATGCTTGAGCTTTGGGCACCATTTTCCCAGTTCTTGTCGCCACGCGTGTAAGCGCTGAAGGTCTGAGAGAAAAGACCCTCCCTTTGCTCGACTGCACCCAGCAGTGCCGAGGTGAAGCTCTGAATTCAGAATTATGGTTTGGACCACGGCTTCCGTTTTATTTAAGGTAGTTGTAATATGCGTACCTTTTCCAAATCCACAGGCCGACCTCCAGAGGTAAAATCAGCATCATGTAAACTTTTGTTCCTTGGATCATACGTCACCGAGATCCTGAATCCATTATTTGTACAGCCTTTCAACTCTAACTTTATTCTCTCCGTTTCATCACCAAACTTCTTGTCTCCATGAACGAAGCAGAAGTCTTTCTCGGTGCACTGCAGAAGCTCTTGGTTACCCATGAACCAGGCTAAACAAAATTTAAGTAAAGTTTCTAGATCGTACCGTTGAATTTATCTGCTTGGAATTCCAGGTTGATGTTCTTCGAATTCTCGTACGGCAGTGTGGCCAAGGGCTTGACGAATCGGATTCTCAGTGTCTGCAAAGAAAATAATTTTTGTATAGCGTAAAACACCTCTTTATGTAAATGCCGGATGCGATGGTCTGTCCGTTGCTCGGTTCTGTTGATCACGGGGAACCTAAGAATTCAAGAGGGTATGTAAATTCACAATCCCCTACTTCAAATCAATCGTCCAATCAGCGCAGGTAAATTCGATCAAGAATTTCGAAGGCGTTTTTTCGTCGTATTCATCGCAGGGAAGGTTGGTAGACAGACGAGACATGAAGCGCTAAATTATGGGTCTAATCATCATAATTTCATGAGCATACCTGCCGGGTTTTGGCCATTCCATAAGATGCCTCGAAAAAGAATGGCTGAGGGGTAATTAACGCCGAAATTCGGTCGATGATGGAAATATCAGCTTCGGTGATAATGTGGCCCATATGGATCGAGATGTTCGTCTATGAAAAATAACAGAAAAGTATAGCAAAATTACCGTATCCTGGGAGGCTCGCTTAATCACATCGATAACAATATTTTCATTGCTCCTCTGTTCGTCAGTTTCCCTTGCAAATGATATCAATGGAATATGCATTCGTTCCGATGATCCCTAAAAGATCTCTAGAAAATAGTTCATTTTCTTACCTCACAAGATTCAGCTGACAAGGATTCGATCAGATCGAATGTTTGAGCTGCGATTTTGATATCGTCACTTCCATTCGTGCTGTTCATAGCAACCGTAACCCCACATGCATTGCACCTAAACAATCATTTTCTGGGATATTTTAAATTTACCTCAAATGATCTCCAGCATAGGCTGTGTTCAGTTGATTCCTGGTGGTCTCCAGCAATTCCTGCGTGGCTGAGGGGGCAATGAAGTTCAGTTTTTGGATTTTTTCGAAGAACCTAAAGAAAAATAATGATTTCTTTTTTAGTGACTTACTCATTGCTCAAATCATCCAATTTCTTGATGCCTTCCGTGCTGTTTATTTTGTCCATCGGGTCGTCATGCGTCACAAAGATATTTGCACTTCGCAGCTTCAGATTCATCACAGTATTTGCATCATTCCGATCGGATTTGATGAATTCTAAAACCAAAAGCCATAAAAAGCGAGCGTTCCTCACCTTTTCTCGGAATCCTGCTTTTCACTTCCTGCATGGGTTTTGGCGAGTCATCCAGCGAAATTTGGGAGAATTCCTTGAATTCTTGCCCTGGATATGTCTCATCTAAAAATATAATTTTTACAAAATTTGTTGAGCCAACCTCCAAGCCGATTCCCACCAATATGATTGCCCTCGACCGTTTGTCGAACAATATTTTCCAAATCATGATCCGTCACAGTCGACCCATAGTTCTGACTTTTCTTCCTGAAATTTTTGTTTATCCCGGGTTCAGAAATCACTTTTTCGGATCGATGGCAATGTTGGAGAAGAATTTCTGCAGTATGGCAATTTGTGACGGCGACAGGAAGGCGTTCAATGAGCTGGCGTTCAACGCGATGTTAAGCTAAAGCGATTCTTTGATTTTGTGAATTTTTTCCAACCTTTCGACGCTGATCTTTTGATTGCCCGACAGGGTTATCGAATTCAATCGTAATTTCAGTGTCGTCGGACAAGCGAGCGAATCGGATGGGCGAAGATTCAAGGTTTTCGCATTCTTCGGGGTTTTGGGAAGTTTGGGGATATGCTGCAGGACGTCGAGTTGAAGTGGTAAGGGTAGAATAGCATGACTAAACGCTGGATTTATGTAGTTTGATGTACTTACTTGATAATCTCCCAAACCAGATGCCGTAGATTCCAATAGGCCATTTGAGTCGTTCAAGGAGTCATCTTTCTGAATATATAAAATTAAAAAAATATGTCGCAATGATATTGAGCTCGTTAAGGTGATAATAATCAATATTTTCACCTGTTTGTTGGTCCTTCTAACATGCATACTCGTCAAGCATTGACTCGAATACAACTCATCCCCGTCCGAAAAATGGTTGTCAATCGGCGTAAATACATCCGTAAAGAGCGAAAGGCCTAAACCAATTCTTTTAATGATCTAAAACGATTATGATTTTACCTCGAACGCTCAAGAATTTGTGCAATTTTGTTACAGAACATGCGGCTTGTGGCTGAGAGGTAATCGCCTCCGATGTTCCCTGACCTCGGTTCACGTTTTTCATCTGGTCATCCATGAATTCAAATCTATTGAAAGAATATAATACAACTATTTAATGCTTACTCCTCAATCAACATTTCTAGAGCCATCCCATAAGCACTCATCTCTTCCGGTGCGCGCTCGATTCGAACAGTGGTATCATTGAATTTGACGCAAAAACGAGAAACAATTGCATCAATGACCTGAAAAAAATCATTAATTATCGATTCTATAAAATTGCTAACCTGTGAAAAAGCTTTCACTCCATCAGTCCCATCTTCCAGCTCTTCCTGTTTCACATTTTCCTCCTTGCAAAAGTCTTCGGCCAAATCTTGGGAGAATGACTCGAGGACACTGCCCAGCATCGTAGAAACTAAAATAGAAGAAATTCGTCAAATGTAAGACAATAATACCTTGATCTGCATCTTCGACTGAAAATTGATCCAAGGCTTTAAAGGTAAGTTGTAGGTTGGAAACGCTGGCTTTTGTAGGCTCTTTTGTCAACGACGACCACGGAACCTAAAAATCGCGATTAGTTTCAAAATCCTGGACTTCTAAATACCTTAAGGTTAATATTTCCAATGTATCCTTCCACTAATCGAAATGGCAGACCCTGTGATTCCAGGATCTCGTTGATAACCTAAATATTTGTTGTTGTTGTTTATTATCATCAACTCACCTTTGTGCTCAAATACAAATCTCCAACATTAATTTCACCCTCAATCAGGCTGACCGAAATATCCTCCAACGAAAGTTTTAAGTCAAGAAACTGGCCGAGATATCGATGGATTATGTAGCGACACCTTAAAAAAATCTTCTCAGAAACCATTCAAAAGCAAACCATCTCTTATGCAAATTCTCGGAGAGCCCGAAATCGAAGAACATCCTGACAGGCCGTGTCAGGACTTCGAGAACGGTGCTGAAAATTCCCATATTAAATGCAAAATGAGCTCGCCGTTTGCCGGTTTTCCGGCAACCCCTTGCGTAAGAAAATTCAAACAGAAAAGCCTCACTTCAAAACCCAGTTGATTTTTTGCATAAGCCCTCCACTAAGCTTTTCGAAAGAGTGGTAATGAGAAAATATGCGCAGTGGTTGGCAGATATGTAAATTTTGAAGCGAGAAAGATAAAAGGAAAATGCCCCCCGGGGTCTATCAGGTGAGAGGCGAGAGGGAGAAGCCGGCAGCTCTCGGGGCCGATAGAGGGCTTGATAAGCATGATATCTATGCATATTTGGGGGGTTTAACCTAGATCATCTGCTCTCAACATGAGTTCAAAGCAATCAGCTGATGCATATGACCATCGCAACGCGGCCGCCCCGCGGTGGGCTAGACAATATATTGCGTAGCCGATTCCCAGTCGCGATAACGGGGGGAGCGGACATGAATGGTTTTTGGGGAGGGCAGATGTATGGGAAGGGGTAGAAATTGTTGACGGCAAAAATGGGGGGAATTAGGCAGGAAAATTGCACATTTGTCGATAGAGGTTGTTGATAAAAAAGGTTTTGAAACTAGGGTTCATTAATCTTGGGTTTGGCTTGGCTTTTGAATAAAAGGCTTTTGAATAATAGAAAAAATGGCCAAAAATTTAAATACCCTGCGATGCACTTCTCATTCCAAATCGGCTACTTAGAAAATTGTGAATTTTTGCATTGAGCAATAGCTCCAAAAAACTCAATTAGAAAATAATCTGCCATAGGGTACGGATGAATACGATGCATGCAAAGCTAGGATTTTTGTAAATTCAAGAGCTTAAGATTATATACCTAGTTTTAGAGTTGAAAGCGGAGGCCTAGATGTAAAAATACGGGTTAAGGCACCAAAAATCGCCAGACATCAACGCCACTGATCAAAAATCGGCGGTGCCATAACCGAAATTTGAACTACGCGCCTATAAATAAATTGAAAATTCCAAAATTAACGCCCTCTGTATCTTTGTTTCGCATTTCAAGAACACCACATTGATGCAGTACTTTATTATCGCGTCGACATTTAACGACGGAAAGATCCATCCTCGAAGAAGATTCCTCCATCGATGGCGCAGTACTTGGGGCAGACTCCGCGTTCTCCACCAGTTCCGCTCTGGCCGGGGGTTCCCTTCTCTCCGGGGCGTCCGTCTTGTCCGGGGCGTCCTGAAATTTGGATGATCTACAGTACGACCGAAATTTACCAGGCTGTCCAGGGGCTCCCTTGGGGCCAGCAGGTCCGGGGAATCCGTTGGTTCCGCGGTTTCCGGGCTGTCCGGCCTGTCCGGGGGCTCCGGGAGGTCCAGGGGGTCCGGGTGGGCTGGCGGTGGTAGATCCTCCCTGAGCGGGGGCTCCAGGGCCTCCGGGGTGTCCATCGGCTCCAGGCTGTCCAGGGGCTCCTGAAAAAAAGAGAATTATAAGCTTGGCGAGGCAAATTCTTACCGTTGGGTCCCTTGGGTCCAGGCTGTCCAGGTCCTCCAGGGGCTCCAGGGCCTCCAGACTTTCCGGGGAATCCGTTGTTTCCGGCGGGTCCAGGAGGTCCAGGAGGTCCGGGGGGTCCTTGAGGGCAAGGAGTGCAGGGAGGAGGAGTGGCAGATTCGCAAGCGCGAACCGGGGGCCTTCCGGGGCTTCCGGGAAGTCCAGCGGCTCCCATGTTTCCGGGGCGTCCAGGCTTGCCCATGGGTCCAGCGGGTCCGGGCTGTCCTCCAGAGCAGCAGGCGGCGCAGTCTCCCTCCTCGTGTTGCTGAGCAGCAGCGTAGGTCTGACGTTGGTATCCCCCCTGAGCGGGTCCACGGTTGTATCCGGCTCCGGCTCCAGCTGCTCCAGCGAATCCACCGTTTCCTCCAGCGGCTCCTCCGAATCCTCCGTTGCCTCCAGCGTTGCCTCCATGGTTGTAGGCGCCTCCAGCATTGCCTCCAGCGTGGCCTCCACGGTTGTAAGCTCCTCCGGCGTTTCCTCCGTTTCCTCCACGGTTGTACTGTCCGTTTCCGGCTCCAGAGTTTCCTCCGAATCCACCGTTGCGGTTGTAGCCGTTCTGAGCTCCGGTGTTTCCTCCGCGGTTGTATCCGTTCTGGTTTTGGTATCCTCCGACGGCAGCGGGCTGACGGTTGTAGCCTTGTCCCTGGCGGGCCTGGGCGTACTGTCCTCCTTGACGGTTAGCTCCCCATCCTCCACGGTTGGCACCATAGCTGGGGCGCTGAGGAGTGTGGGGTAGGAGGGCAGCGTCGAGGTCTTGGTAGGCCTGGCGGGCGGTACGGTTGCTGCGAGAGAGGGCCTGGATGGCACGCAGCTCCGAGACCTGAAATGACCATGAAATTCCAGAATATTCAAGCGTTTTGGGTACGGTCATGGTATAAAACGTACTCCCATGCTGATCTCTTCTCCGGCCTCACGGCAGGCGTCCATCTCCTGGTCCATCTGGATCTTGATCTGGTCAACATAGGCGTACATCATCGGCACAGTCATGGCGACCGTCAGGACCGAGAGCTAGAAAAGGATGACCATAGGCAAATTTGCAGTTTGACTTACGGTAGCGAATGCGACCGTCGAGTAGGCGACGCATCGCAGCACTTGGAGCCTGGCCTGAGCGTCCATGTCGGGCCGATATCCATCCATCCGTTCCCCCCGTCTTATATACTGCCATCCCGGGGGCCCATCAGTAACCCTCGAAAATTCTCTCCTTTTCTGCCTATTGCTGTTGCTCTCTTTCTTTTTCTGTCTCTCGGTCTCTTCCTCATTGCAGCCTTCCCGAAAAACCGTCCAGCTTACAAGGCCACATCCAGCGCGCCCCCGCAGTCGTTCCGACAAAAACAAAACCCTTTCCTCTCAACAAGTTGGCTCTATCTCTCTCTCTCTCTCTCTCTCTCTCTCTCTCTCTCTCTATGTGTTCGTCCAACCCAAATTCCAACCCATCCCCTCTGCCGAGATCCACGGATAGCGGACGGCCCAACCCTTTCGGGCTAATCGCGCAGTACCGCACCCTCAAAAAATTGGATGAAGGTCAAGCAGGGTCGGTCATTTACCAGAGACACGTACATTTTCTCATTTTGCCAGGAAGTAGTTCGGCATTGAGGGGGTCAAATCAGGGATACCACACAGGTTCGGTTTCCGTTTTGAGTTGGGAAGTGATTTTGGAATCGCTATTTGTTGCCACAAATCGATGATTGGGATGTGGATATGGTTTACTACACGAAAAACATGCTATAGCGCAACGAAAAGAACTTTGCTATAGAAATACCTGAAAATTTGAAATTACGGTAGTGCCCCCGATCAGTTTCTTCTCAGATTTTTACTGTTCTCGATTTCACAAAACCTTGCATCCCCCCTCTTTTGAAAGAGCACTAACTTCTTCCGCAATCAGAAATGATCATTAATTTCCACAGTCGCCTAGCATGGACAGATGCCTTATCTCAAAAAACCGGCCGCCGAGCGAATTTTTGTGACGTTCCGGCGCCGGCCCGGAGGGAAAATTAGACGCTTTTGAGTGATAGCACTGTGCCAGAGTTCATGGCCAAGTCCATAACAACCTGACGGTCTCAAAGGAATCATTGATTGAAAACCAGCAGAAACAAAGTGACTAATGTTGTCATTGTAAATTGATGGCTGATTAAATAAGCGGAAGCGAAAGTGATATGGTCCAAAATTCTAATTGGAACATTTTCTATCGAAAACTCGTATTTAAAGGTGACGTGCCCAGATCAAAACGCTGATATGCAAATTAAGGCTTGTTAACTAAAGTATATACCCAATATCCTATTACCAACGAGTATTATTTTGCTTATGTTTTGAAAACAATAATATCCAAAATCGTCATGTATCTATGCATTTTATGTCTGTAGTATGGTGCTGTCCGGATCCTCAAAAGCGATTTACTAATGCAAATTAACATCCTGTACTGCCGAATAGCGACCAATACCTCAGCTTAACCAGATCCCGAGTACCAAAAAAAATTGTTTTAAAAACAAGATTCTGGCCCGTTTTAGCTTTTTACGAATCAACACCCTTATTTTCTCGAAGAACTCATTGGATCACCGGAAGCTTGACTCACCAAGCAAGGGGCGGGCGAGATATGAAGCCGAACGAAGGATAGGGCCCCGGTTCGAGGCGCAGCAGAAGCCCTCATACCTTCGGTTGCTATTCCTGGCTTTCCAGCAAAGGCTCCTGAAGCATTCGCATTCCTATCCAATGTGCCATCAATCGTAAGCAAGGATTGGGAATATATGAAGTTATAGGGTAGAGTGGGTACGGGAATTGTACTAGCGACTGGTCTTTGTATATCTAGATCGTGGAGATTGATTTGACAAATAGGAGCTAGGGAATACGGCCATAGTGCTGTGTTGTGTCACTATTTCGGTACAGCAAACCGTTGCAAAACACTGTGGTGTTGGTGACCGGGTGCTGTGCTTAACTAGTGCCCTCGAGGCAGCATTTTATAAACACTACTGAACAACGCATCCAACTTAAGATGCATTAAGATACTCCACGACCAGAAAAAACACGTTTTAAAAAGCAATTTACCGTCGACTATTATTGTAGAAAATTCAACTTTAAGAAAAGCGCTGAGGAGTCCAACCGCCGGACTGAATCAATCTGAGTCTGAAAAAGCACTATGGCTGCGACAGTTAGCTCATGCCCAGCTCAAGCTGAAACACATCTTCATACCTAACATCATAATCTCTTTTAGCGAAGATACTAAAAATCTATAACTGGGCTTCATGCTCTTGCATCTATGCCGCAAAAAGACGCCCACAGTAACCCAAAAATTCTCGTTTTCGCAACATCTAATACCTGAATCATCCTGTCTACTCTTCAGAACGGCCCGATCAGTATGCTTTGATTAACATGGCCCCATAAAAAATTTCCGGAAACGCTACCTTACCTGACAATATTCTTCTTCTCGGAAACACATGCGTGGCTCGTCACCACCACGTGCCTCGCTACAAACTCGCGTCTCATTATCACTTCAGAAGTTATCGAGCCCCCATGGGCCATTGGTCGCGCTTTGAACCATTCGGCGCCTGATGGCTTTAATGTCGTAATTTTAAGAAGAGGACACCTATATATACTGGTCTTGGAGGCGGCTAGCTTTCCCGTCTTGATTTGTCATGGATAACAGTTTTGTCATAGATAATGGTCCTCACCGCACTGGGGTATAAAGGCTTTAAGGGTTCGGGCTAGTTATCACTTTATCTGGTATGGACATAGCCAACTAAAGTTCCGTGGGTACGGTATTATAGATACAAGATATCTTACACATTTCACTATTCATGCTTTCTACAATGCTCTCTGCAGCTGCGTTGTATAAAATAAATTACAACAACCCTTTAGCTTATGTCAAGGACGAAGGCAATGTCTTCCGTAAATCACTATAATTGGGATGTTCCACTTCATAACAAAGGAAACAACAATGATTTCGATCAGGTACATAGCCCTATCCCCGGCCTTGAAAGCCAAGTTGATTTTGCAGTACTTCCTGCAAGGACAGCCAATGGGTCAACAACCTGACTCATATCTTCGAAATTGCGGCCCGATGCCCGGGTAAGAAAGCGCTCGACCGCTCTTTATCAGCAACCCCGAGTTCGTCCCTCCAAAAACTGCCCCGTAAGATGGACACCACTTCGTTATGCTAAAACGATCTGTTGCACAACAAATTTTGCCCTCTATAAAGCGCCCTCAATCTCGCAATTCTCTCCATCCTCACGCTTTCCATTATGGCAACAACTGCAAAGGTTGACTGGGTCAATCTCTGGCTAGATTCCAACATGATCGAGTTGAGCCCCTTGCTCACTTCTCTAATCGATTGATTTCAGCGGAGGGAAAGCCTACGCCCCAACTCCTTTCCCGGCTCTACCCGAGCTCTTCGCGGACCAAATAGAAGAGCAGATCAACCCTGCACTAGATCCTTACTTCCAAGATATCCCATTCAACAATGCCATGCAAGGTTAGAGGACATTTATTTAATTTTTACGTTCTTATTATTATAGAGCAAGACCCGGCGTTGGCCGAATTAATGGGACCCGACACAAATGGTGATCTCGATTCTTTCGACCCGATGTTTGAATGTCTGCTGCCTGCCTTCTCCACCATTGACGCTCCCAATTCTGATCAAAACAGTAAGGCTGAGTTGGGCATCAACTATTCGTGTCTGTAGTTCCTCCCCTCGGGTCGCCAGCGCCATCAGAAGAATCCTGGAGCCAGAAAACCTCTTCCTCAGAATCGGAAAGCCGCCCCTCCCGCCGAAATTCTGGTACTCAATCAAAACTCATCATTACAACCTCATCACAGTTCAAGGCAAAGCCAAAAATCACCGCACCGGACGTCCTAAGATCTATGAAGGATCGCCACAAGATCGCAACCGCCAAGCCGTCAAAAAGAATCGCCAAAAGCAAAAGGAGTACGAGCTCAATACGACGCAAGTTCCTCAATTAAAACCAAACCTTTTCCTAGGGAGGCGTTGGCCGATATCCTCGAGAGCTTCCAGAGATTGCGCGAGAGCTACAATCCCGGCCAGGGAATCAGCTGGCACAACGTTGAGCGCATCTTAAAACCGGTAAGGTGTTTCATAGCGTTCACTTTATTCCTAGTTTGCAGCTTTACGTTAGAAACGCTGAAGGTCAAATCTTCGCCAATACGATAATCGAGCGACAAAAGGCGATCTCGAAGCTTAAGTACCGAAATCCCTGTAATAGTCGTGGAGCTCGTAAGTGAAGGTAAACTGCAACCATGTTTTTTTGAAAATTAGCCGCATAGTTAGATGCTTCGCTTGATTCATTTGTTGGTTTTTTTGATGATTTTTATTAATACCCAAACCCCGTCAACCCCATCGATAACCTTGTTCCGCGTATCGGCGACAATGTTTTTGATGTGGTCAACAGTTCAAGCAAATTTACCCCTTTTTATTTGGTGTTTTTTATGTGGTTTTTCCTGCTTTCTCGATCTTGTGCCATCTTGTAAATATGCCAATTGCCGGGACGCGCGTATTTATTGCTAGTATATGGCTAGAGGGCTAGAATCTCATCGTGCCTTGCAACAAATTTTGATACTGTACCCATTTGTGTTTAATGTTTAATAAATTTTGTGTATATGAAGCTATGCAAACACCGGAGAAACATTTAAAACACAAATTGGAGATTTACAATTCGGAAATGCAGTCCTAAAAGAATGAAACATGCATCTTCCGGTGCAAAGGTATAGACCGTGATAACATTTATTGATTTCATTTTTTTGTTCTAGCAAGTTGGCGTACTGCTGCACATCATTCCATACAAATTATCAATAGCGTCAATCAAACCAAATTCCGTAGCAGCGTAGCGAGCACATGGTGAAATCATCTAAACCCAAAGTAATCGTTGTAAGGAGACCAAAACACCGTTAAAATATAACATCAAACAATTTTACCTTTAGTTGAGTCATGTTTGCACCCGGACCATACCCAATCGCGTAAATTTCAACACCATGGTTTTTGAGCTCTTCGAACATAAGGGTTGGGTTCGAAAAACCTTTTCCATTGTTGCCTCGATCCCATCCTTGTGTACTAACGAACAGCTCTTAAAAAGACGGAAATACCTACCTAATGATAGTAATCATCTTTCTAACATTTTCACGGAAGGGCGTCGACATTATTGCAAGTACATATTCAGCCACGCTGGAAACGATTAAGCCATATTAAAAATCGATACTCCATCAAATTGTTGCCATCACCGCCCGTATAGCCAGCGTACAATTCATTAACCAGTACTGTTAGGTACGTCGATACAGTTGTCACAAAATCCAGATTAGTGTCGAATTGGAAGTGGTTCTGCGAATTGCATAAACAGGCCACTAACTTACTTACAACATTATCATATACACCCATCATTATGCGAACATTATTGGGTCCAAAAACCACGTTTTGAGCAAGTTCGAGAAATTTATCCGCAACCTATGGTCAAATATTCAGCAAAGTTGTTATGATGGAATTACTGTTGAGAAGGTGCTTCTATTCATAGTCGCTGATCCATCGAAGGCGACAACAAGATCGATGATTGGCACCGTTGGTGCGCATGTGGGATATACTAAACAAGTTAAACTGGGTTTAATAGGTGAATATAAAAATGTTGGTTTCAGTAAAAACATACACTGGTGGTTAGATAACACATCTTTAAGTTCCGGAATTGCGATTGGTTCCCCGATTTGGAAAAGTGTTGAAAATAGAGCAGCGAAGTAGATAGACTTTTCCATTTCTACCTGAATTACATTCCTGAATGGAAAACAATCCCTATTAAAGAACGGAAAATTTTGTTAATTGTCTTTGTACCAAAACCTGGTGTAATTTGATATCCAGCGACGTTTTAAATAGCAGAAAAATCTCAGCATTTTTAATCTAAGTCCCGTCATTTTCCGCCATTCTGTCGTCGATTTCTTATCGTTCATCGGTTTTCTTTATTGCTTGCTTGTAGTCTTCGATCCGATAGGAGCAATGAAACAGTACTTCTGTGTTATATTCAAAAACCAGTAATACTAGGGATCGACCAAGCTAAAACTTAGAAACTGTCGCTGTTTCAATGACGCTGCCGGAGCGATTTGGCCAACTATCAGTCGCAAGCCTTCATCCACACACAATGTAACAATCAAAATTTTGAAGAGGCCACCTAAGCGCCCACTCTTTTCGACTAGTGGCTGCTACTCGTATACAGCTAGAAAATTTCTTTGTGCAATGCTACTTGAACGGAATGGCATCACCCCGCAGCTTTTGATACGCGTTTTCGGTATCCAGGCGTGGGTGTGGGAATGCAACAATACACTGCTGGACATAAGTTTACGTCCACCTGATTTTTTCGGTGTTTTGATGAGCAGGAAGGAGTGTCGCGAAAGCCACTTTTTTGCATTATATTACACCCAAATAGGCATCTACTGGCACTAAAAACATCCTCAGAAAATTTTTAGATTTTTTAAATGCTCTTGCTTCATCCTCTATCTCAACAAATGCCGTTTTTCAAGGTGATTAATTAAAATAAGATAAAATGTTGCGCTTGGCAATGGGCCCTTACCGGTATAAAACTATGAAATTATATGCAATTAATGATTTATTTTTCACTCTAACAAGTTGGAGTAGTACTGCAAATCATTCCATAGAAGTTGTCGATGGCGTCAAGAAGCCCAAATTCGGTCGGGGCATAACGAGCGCAGGGAGAAACCAGCTAAAGGCAAGCTCAAATTTATAGTAGGTAGACAGGGCTTTTAATAGCAGCTTAGCCTTGATACCATTAACTGCGTCATGTTTGCGCTTGCACCATATCCAATGGCATATACCTCCACGCCTTGATTTTTGAGTTCTTGGAACATAAGGGTCGGATCCGAAAATCCCTTGCCGTGGTTTCCTTGATTCCATCCTTGAGAGCTAAGAAGGAACATAAAAAACGGTTTACCCTTACCTAATAATAGTAATCAACTTTCTGGCATTTTCGCGGAATGGGGCCGACATTGTGGTCGCAAGTACATATTCAGCGACACTAAAATTCAAGAATTTATGTAACCAGAACTGATACCCCATAATATTGTTCCCATCTCCGCCCGTGTAGCCGTAAAACATTTCATTAACAACTGTGTTCAAATAGTCCGGTACGGTTTCTATGAAACTCAGGTCTGCGTCGAATTGGAAGTGGGTCTGATAATTTTACATAAATAGTTCAGTATTGTTTAATTTTCTTACGGTATTATCGTAGACGCCCATCATTACACGAACATTATTCGGACCAAAGACTACTTTGTTAACCATCTCGAAAGTTCTGTCGATAACCTATTACAATCAAATCATTAAAATTGTCGGAAAAGAACTACACTCTGGAAAGTATCACTATCCATCGTTGTCGATCCGTCGAGAGCTAGAACAAGATCAATGACCGGAACCGTTGACGCGCATGTGGGATAGGCTAAGATAAATAGATTTAAAATATTGTTGGGAAACAGACATTGCTGCTTAGGTGCTACGGTTTGAAATTCTTGCATTATCATTGGCATTCCATAATGAAAAATAGTGACAAGCATGCCAGCGAAGTAGATCGTCTTTCGCATTTATCGCTGGATTCTTCGCTTCGCTAAATGTGAGATCAAAACCAATAAAGAATGAAAATTTTGATTAAGATTGTCGCCGAAAGCCAAAAGCATACTGGCCAGGTCTATTAAATGGTGCATTAAGCTCAGAATGCTGAATGCTTGCTAGAAAACCACGTCAGTTTTGGTCATTCTGTCGCCGATTTCTTATCGGTGCGCCTCGTTTTCCAGCACGTTTATGAGGCGAAAGGCTAATTAAATAATACTTAAGCCATCTATGCAAAAAAAGCAGCTTCGTGCTGTGCCGTAACTTCTAGGGAAGCCATTGTCCTGCCACTCCATCGGCAATTGTTTTTGAAGCAAAAAGTAGTACTTCTGATCTGCCTCAATCATTCAAGCTCGAAATACATATGTACGGAACAAAATCATAAACAATTTATTCGTTATTATTTCTGCGGAGCCGCCTCTTAGCACGTGACGTTTGCGCTGAAAATACTCTTACTGTCCATTTCTCACATATGTTCCAACCTGCAAATGTTGCTCCAGAGCCAATTCAGCGAATCTGTCAGCTCGTACTCAGTCTGTGCGTGGCGGGCACAGCTCGACAGCGCCTGGAAGGCTACTTTTGCAACAAGGTTTGGGGATTAAAAACGGAGAACAGCTTTGCAGGCATTGATAAGCCGCTCTCTAGACGTCGGCCGGGCTATTTTTGGACATAGCATGTGGGGGTGCTGTTTGCGAACATTTGTCCATGAAATTTTGCGTATCGTCATTTCGGTCGCGTGCGAAGGCGGCAGCAAAATAATAATACCTGAAGCTGTGTCATGTTTGCCTTCGATCCCCAGCCGATAGGGTAGAATTCAAGGTTGAGTCCCTTCAGGTCATTAACGTCGGCAGTTGGGTCTAAGAATCCCTTTCCAGAGTTGCCCTTATCCCATCCAAGAGAGCTGAAAGTCATTAATGTATCGAAAACGTCGCCCTTTTAGAATATTAAAAAAATTATTCGCAAATTTCTGACCTGAACAACACGATCATCTTCCTGGCATCCGGGCGGAATGGTGTGACCGCATTTTCGTTGCGTACCAGATAATCAAGGACACTGAAGACGATTTTTCAGAAATAAGAACAATCTCACGCTTGAATGTTGTTTCCTTCACCTCCTGTGTAACCTGCGAACATCAGTTCAACAATACGGGTAAGGTATGAGCTAATGTTGGTGGTGTCATTGAAGTCTTGTCGCTCGAAGTGAGCCTGAAACCGTAAAATTTTGCCTACAATCGCTGGAGCTTACAATGTTGTCATAGGTTCCCATCAGGACTCTTGTGTTAGCCGTACCGAAGACGACGAGGTTGCTAAGGGTGTAGAATTGGTCGATGATCTGGAAAGAAGAATAAAGATTATGGGAGTACCAGCGCTGACCCTCCCCCCACAAACTGAATTTCGAATTTAAACCAGAATTTGTCTAAATCCCGATCGGCAGACGGCAGACAGACATTAGAAATTTATACATAGTAGGTTCTTACCCCGAGGTATACGTCCTCGGTCATCGTCTCCGAAGAATCAAAAGCAATGACCAAATCGATCTTTGGGGTTTCTTTGGCGCAGGTTGGGTAGACCGGCAACGGGCTGGTGGTCGGGAAATCACGGGTGGGGAAGGTGCCAGTGTATGGTGTTCCAGTGTATGGCGCTGAAATTCGTTAAATATAGGATTTTTTAGGAAAACAAAAAGCAAGTTTTCCAAAATGCTAAACAAACCTCGGGTGGGGATGAAGCCAATGCAGTGGATGGTGAACATACGGCGGAAGGGATGTCCCTCGAAATCAAGTCCATCGATGGCGACGGTGAACGAGTGACGGTTGCAGTGGAAGGTGCTGAATATTTGTGAAAAGAAAGCGAGAGTTTAACTTACTCGCGAGAAATGTAAGGGTAAGTACATCCGGCCCTAGCGACAAGTGGCGAAGCCCATTGGAGGCGGCGCTCATCCACGTCGAAGAGTTGTACGTATTGCAGGATAGTAGAGCCATCATTCACTGCGGCGACGACGGCGTTTGATTCGACTAAAAATGAGCGTTATATATATTTTATTTTGAACGATATAGTCCTGAAATACATAGACAAACTCACATCCAGCTTCCGGGAACAAATAAGCATCATTAGAATGGAGACCACCATCCTCAGCCACATCCTGTGTAAAGGCCAGCATAACCTCCAAATTCGATACACCGCGGACATTCAACTAAAATTTTTTGATTACGACTGTTTTTATCCTGTAAATACCAAGCAGCCTCCGCTCCTCGTCTGGTTGTCATCAATTCCAAGCCTCATAATGCCAGGGGTCCACAAGTTGTTGAAGACACCGATAGTGTTGGTGTTTGTCTGCAGCGTGTAAACTGGTCTGATCTTGGTGCCGTTCGGCCACGAGATCGACACATCTGGCTTTTGCTCGGCAAACATGTCGATGACTGTCGTGGACATGTTGGCTCCGGTCTGCAGATATTCGTCAAGGTTGGAGCAATCTTGGCGGAAGGTGGAAAGCAGGTAGTACGAATCGTGAAGAGTCAAACTGATCTGAAATCAAAACATAAGGCACCAGGTGGTTGTCTAACCGCTCCCCATTGCGTGGCGAATGTGTTTTCATCAGTCAAGAAATAGACGGCGCCACCAGACATATGGATCGTGTCGAAGAGCGGCTCCAGGGCTGGGTAGGTGGCATTTCCAGGGGTTCCCTTGTCACCGAAGACAAGCAAGTTGACCTAAGACGAAATTTTTTTACAGTGAGTTTCCGAACCTGGGTGTGAGTCCTGGAAATGGCATCCATTGCGAGATCAATGTCGGCAAAGTCATCAGGGAATCCATTCAGTATAGCATAAGCGACCGAGCGAGATTTGACCTATTAATTCAATTTAAATCCACTGCCTGCCTAGACTTACCTGAGGAGCAGTGAGAGCGGTGACCATTGAAGTGAAGATAGAACGAGAAACATCATCGGTAGCGGCCGGTTGATTGGTTAAGGTGGTCTGAAATATAATGCGTTTCTGGCTCCTAATTCACGGGCATAGCTGACCCAAGTTTTGGGGGGGAGGGCAGCCTGCCCCCACTGTTCCCCCTCCCCCCTCCTATGCGCCTGTCCTAATTCCTGGACATACTTTGATAGAGTTGATGAACTCTCCGGGGTCGCTGTTGGTGATCAAAGGCAGGACAGCGCCGCCGTGATCCGTCAGGTTTTGGTTCTAGAGAACAGTATCGGTGTCATACCAATAACCTACCCTGTAGATGACTCCAACGTAACTGCTGAACCAGGTCGGGAAGCTCGTGCCAGTAGTGTTGAAGAAAGTGCTGAGCACGATGTCGATCTTGCCGAGCAGGTTGGTGTAGGTTCCGGTCTGGATACCGTCAAGTAGCAGAACGAATGTACGGTGCTCCGTGTCGACATCGGGCTTGTTACCTCCGCGTGTGCATTGCGCAATCTCGCAGAAGCGTCCGCTGAAGCCAGGTGGGCAATCACAAGAATTCAGGGAACCGGTGACACGGCCACCGTTCTCGCAATCAGCGACTTGACAGTACTCTCCGTATAAGTGTGGTGGGCAGATGCATTGACCTCTGTAATATTGGCCGCCGTTCTCGCAATCCGATGGAGTAGGGCCGCCGAGGCAGGAAACGGGCAAGACACGTTGGTACAGGTATCCGTAGTTATCAACTCCAGAGAGCATCATCTGGAAAGTTGGGTACGGGCACTGGAATGGAGCAGAGATGAAGTCGAACAGGCAGTTGTCGCGGTAGCGCATCGGCTGGGCTTGGATGATGGTCAGATTGTTTTGGTAGAAGTGGGCGTATTCCAGGGAATATTTGGTCGATGGCAGCAAGCCGGTAACGTGAGCGATGATGCGGTTCTCCACGGGGCCCTGGAATGGCTCGACGTAGCCGAAGTCGTCGTGGATATCGGTGGTGTATTCGACGTAGACACGCAATTGCGACTGGGCAGCGGCGGCGACGGAGCAGCTTCCCTCGTCAGTCTGGACTTGAACTTGCCAGATGCCTCTTGGCAAGAAATCGGAGTTGGGGTCGCGAGGCTCAAAGAACTGGTTATAGATGTGCTTCTGGCAAACGTAGGAGAATTGCTGAGAACAGTCAACAACGTTCCATCCCTTTGGTCCGGTGATGCCCTTCTGGCTATCGTATACACAGGTCTTGGTCGGATCGGTGATAGGCTGCCCAGAGGCCCAGTTAGCATAACCAGTGGTGTCAAGGGTTAGAGAGAAGTTGAACGGCGTATCCCATTCAAACTTTCCGGTCGTCTTCTTATCGTTGAGACCAATCCAGTAATCAACCGACGAGCCTGCCTGGTAGCTAAGGTAATCCTGATCTCCTTGGTTGAAGACTGATGCAAGGGAGGCGCCTTGTTGGTGGCAAGCAAGGGCCGCATCATCCCAGCTGGCATGGGTAAGACCGAATTTGAAGCAACGGTTATCGTACTGATCCCAGCCCTGTTCGCACGGCTGGATAACCTGGTCTCCGCGGGACCCGTATCCAACATCGTTCCACATGTTGAGAACCTTGAATCGTCCACCATCTGGTGCAGTGTAAACCGGATCGTTAACAAGATCTCCATTGATGACAACGCTCAACGATTGTGTGAGCGAGTCAACGGGGATATAGAAAGTCGTAGGCTTCGTGCAATCAGCAAGCCAATTCTCGGTGACCAATTGCGAGCTGTAGGTAGTCGGGAGTGCGCTGAAGATGTCTCCGGCCTTGTTGGCCATCGAAATCGTGAACATGCCGCTGCTGAACTCAGCCAAGCTCATCAGTGAGGTAGAGGCCGCGTCATAGATATCCTTCCCGCAAGGAGAAGTGGCGGTTTGGATGATGTTTACGGAAGTCTTCGTCACTTCGAGGTGGTTGAAGATCTTGCTGAGGACCGGGGCGTTCAGTTTCGGCAGCCCATTGATGAATACATAAACGATACCACCGAATGAGGCATCATGTGAGGTGAGAGTTTCGTAGAGGGCGGGGAACAGATCGAGGTCCAGGCATGAGATCTCAGAGTTGTCGTAGTTGCGCTGGGCAAGCGTCCTCATTCCCTAAACTGAGTTCCAATAAAATATATTTAAAAACCTTGATGAATGCGTTCGGATCATTGGTGTCAGCCACAGCGGTATGAGTGGTCGAGTTGAAGCGGACAATCTAAAGCTGAGTTTGGAATAACTTCTTTAGATACCTGGTATCCAGTGATCCATTCGCGGTGGGTGAATCGGATATCTTCTACTAGTCGAGGCAGAGTGTCGTTGAGGGTGCGCATCACCTAAACCACATTCCAGTTTTAATAAATCACAAGAGAACCAACCGATCGGGTGGTGATCGAGTCGTGGACAAGGACGGAGAGGGTCTTGCGGTTCAGGAAGAACTCGGTGAAGGTGTTGCGTTGATTGCAAGAGGAGTACTCGCAGAAGTCGCCGGAGAAGCCGGCTGGGCATTGGCAGGCGCCGAATAGCGGGGTTCCCTGGAATCATATCAGAATCGTCTTAAATACGCGAACCTGGTTCTCGCAGATGACGCTCTGGCACTTTGGTCCGTTGTAGTGAGCCGCGCAGATGCAGGTACCATTGACCATGACACCTCCGTTGGCGCAACCATCTGGTGGAATGACTGTGGGAGCCGAAGCCGAGCAAAAACCGGTCGACGTGCTAGAATATAAAATAAGTATATTCAAAATAAAAATGCACCGCAAAAGGGTGTGTCCTTGGGAATCGGTCGTGTAGACTGAGACGTAGTACATCATGTTCGGCCGCTGGCAGGTGAACGAACCGAAGTACAAATAGAAGTTGCAAGAGTCACGGAAGATTCCGGACGAAGCATAGACCATTTCGCGTCGACCTCCCACATCGTTGGTCGTTACCATCACCTCTGCGTGAAGGCCGAGAAGATCCGGGTGGAAGACGTTGTTGATGTGTGCGACAAGGTGAGCGGGCTGGCGCCAAGTCGGCTGGGTGTCCGTCTCATCCGAGTTCAAGCTGTTGGTGATGCCAATGAACAAATCGTAGTTAGAGCGGGCTGTCACACGGTATTGGCAGACACTCTTGTCGGCTGAGAGCGTAGAAATGCTCACCAACCAGTTTCCCACATAGAGATCCGGGGTGTCAATGACCCAGAGGTACAGATTTCCTGTTTGGTACCATTGAATCGGCTTCAAGACCGTTCGGTTCGGGGCAGTAACCAAAGCTGCCAGTTTATCTCCAGTGGCCGAAATGACGAGGTAATCGGTGGTCTCATCAACAAAGAATGTATTATACTTCGGAGCCATTCGGCAGTCTTCCAAATCATTGGTGATCAATTCGTTCATCATCCAGGTCGATTCGGCCAAAGCAACCGAGGCGGACGCAATCTGATCTAATGGGGTCTTGATAACCTGTCCCTGGGAGAAAGCAGCAAGTCCACGCATTTGCGAATATCCGACGTCGTTCAATGCAATGTTGCAGCGGCCAGTAACCGAGTCCGAAAGCATAAAGAAGAGCTGGCCACGGAAGTGGGATAGCTGGTTGAGGAGGGCGTAGCGCACGTCAACGTCATCGTTGGCAGTTCCATCAGAGTAGATGAAGATGGGGGACTTTTGGTACTTCTGGAAGGAAGGCTGCTCAAGGACCTCAGTGACTCCAAGAAGGAGGGCATCATCGCAGTCGGTGTCGGTTGGCGGGTGGGTCATTGAGCGAATGGCCGAGATGAAGTCGTTGTAATTTTGGAACTCATGGGTGAAGAGGACAGCATTGTTTTGGACAACAGAGAGTACGTAGGCCTGAAGGTAATCAGGATGGAAAGCGGAGAAAGCGGCCGTGATGTTGGTTGCGGCAGCGACAATTTGGTCCATCTGCGCCATCATGGACTGAGAGGAGCGTACAACAAATCCAAGAGCACGTTGGCGGAGGTCGTTGATTTGCCAGTTCGGGTTGGGGCAGAAGACGTGTTCGCAGCTGTCACCCTGGTAGCCAGTCTGGCAGACGCAGCGCTGGTTTTGGAAGTCGTATCGTCCATCGTTGAGGCACTTGCGGAGTTCACATTGTGGGCCTTCGAAGAAGGGCCCGCAATAGCAAGTCTAAAGATTGGGATGAGTTTTTGATGTTTACTTACTCCATTGGCGCTCAACTGGCCTTCGTTATCGCACTTGTCTTGGGGTTGAGGCGTTGGGTAGGTGCCCGTGTACGCGCCAGTTGGGATAGCAGCGTCGCAGTCGAAGTTGTACACGCGTTGCCATTGGTTTCCCTAATATTGGCTTAGTGTTAGTTATTACAGTGACCTTACATGCTCGTCAGTTCCCTGGAACTTCATGTGGTAGTAGTTCATTTGAGTGCAGTTGAAGGTAGTTGTAGTAATATGAGGGGTAGCGCAGTGGTATCTAGGTCCAGTTTTTTTAGAAAATCTTCAAATTACCTTGCAACAAAGTCAAAGTTCTCGGACCAGCGTCCATTCTGGTAGATGTGAAGGACTTCTGGTGTGACCGGGTAGATGTCATGGGTCATCTTGAAGGCAAAGTAATAGGGAGTGCCTTGGACCGGCAGACTAAAGGGGGGAGATAACATTTAGTATTTGGACCTTACGCATTGATGGCATCATTCTCGCCAGTGATGAACTCTGGGACCACGTCGTCTTGAGGGGTGAGGACAAAACCACCATCCGGGAAGAGGAAGGTCTGGGCGTTCACCTCGTATGCGCAGGGGCTAGAATATATTGGCCGTGGGAAGGCTTAAACCACTAACCCTTCCATCTCGCTGTTGAGGACGGCGGTGTACAAACCTTCTCCGTTGGTTCGGATAAGTTCGCAATACTTCTGGACAGTCTCGGACTGGCTGACCACCTCGTCTCCACAGGCGAGAACCTCATTGCCTAAAAAATCACCAACATAAATCGTAAATGGGATTGATCATGAAATTAATTAATTAATGACATTAACATACCTAGAGGATCGTACAGCCTCGAGAAGGGGCGGCCGGCAACGGTCTGGGTGACGGTGATGTGGACATCCTGGGACATTGTGAAGTCAACCGGGAAGGTGAAGCTGAAATTTTGGACTTTGCTTGATTCGTTAAAAAATCTTACCGCTCCTGGCATCTGAGAGAAACCTCAACTTCAACTCGATCACCAATTCCAGCCATACCGTCGTGGGTCAGATAGGGGGAGGTCTCGTTCTTGCAGATCGGGTTCTTGCAGTTGGGTCCCATGTAGCCTGGATCACAGCCATTTGCGCCAACCAATCCGATCTGATTTTAAGCCTTAAAATCGAAACATTCGACTGACCGGTTCGACAGCCCTCGGCACAAATTTCGGCTCCTCAACCTGCGGCAAGTCCATGTGGGCCAATTTAGCATCGCGGAACTGACGGACTAAAAAGAAAATTGTTAATGCTCCTTTGGTGTCTTAACCCACGCTTAACTAGGCGCTCCTTGACCTCCTTGATTTCAGCTTGGCTGAAGCCATAATTCCGCCGTTCTAGGGATTGACCCAGGACGAGAAGTACGGCCACCAGGGCCGCGGTTCTCAGCCACATTTCCCCTAAATCGAACGAACGTCCCAAAAAAAACAACTTTTTTTTAGAGGATCGCTTGAACAAGAAAAATAAATGGAATAACTCTCAAAGCGCACAACTACGGTAATGTGCTAGGAAGTCGATATGTGGGCCAGCAGGTGTGGCGCCCTCCAAATTTGCCCTTGGCTGAGGGTGATAATTCTAAGCGAATACGTGGAGGCCAGCGTGGAGCCCCTGAAATCCGTTATCACGCTTCCAGGTGTGGTAGCCGTGAATTTACGGGGGCTTCTAGGGCTCCCGTATCGTGATAAGACCACACCCAGGCGCATAGTAAAAAAATTAATATTGTTGGGGAGAATTCAGAAAAGAATGCAGCGAAAAGACAATCTCACAAGCTTTAAGGTTTGTTTGTATGGCTTTTTTGGCGTGTCACCATCATAATCAACGTTATAAACAATTTATTCAATATTCTAGTATCATAGATAGCAATCCAAACTTGAACACAATTATTTTTATTACACAATACGGGAATTCCTGATTCCTGAGGATCGACGATATTCGCATCAATTGTATGAACGTTGAAAAGCGGGGTTTTGATAACTAAATAATTAACCATGTAAACACGACTTTTGTTACCCTCCGCTATTATTTGTCTGGAACGTCCTCATCGGGGTTTGATATGTTGGATAGTTTGGTTGCGGAGCCTGAGGAAATATGGAAATCCGGGTTTCTTTACAAAACCTGTGGCACTGGCGGAGCATATTGGGAGGACATGGTGCCTCCTTGAGATGAATATCCAACAAGAACACCCTCATCCTTAAATTTTATCCCTTCCTTCGATTTAATATCATGTTTAAGCAACATAAATTTAAGCTTGTTTATTCCAAACTAGCAAAACACAAATCAATGAACCCGATCTGATATTTTCAAGGCATTTTCTCTCTGGGCAAGCAATGGGCAAAGTATAACAAAGCATTTCGTTACTTGTACGCATATATCAACGTAAAAAGCGAGAAATAAGTTAAATAAATCAATGCTGACGATGGGAGTAGTTGGGATTATAGTGGGGGTCGACGTTCGTTTCGACACTCACTTGATAACCTTTTTGGGCTAGTTCTGATTTGACTGGGGAGGTCACTTCAATTGAGTCTTGGCCACCGTGAAGTCCGACAAAGAATTTGTAGATCCAGGCACCTGAAAAGAACATACGAGTTTACCATTAATGTGGAAAAACCCGAGATGAGCCTCAGCGAGACCTGTATCTTCATTATCGATTATTACTTACCAATCAATGCACCAATGATAGGCCCAACAATTGGGATCCAGAAATAGAACGAATAAGCACTAAAGTAGTAATTTTATTTAGCCAATGACGATATTATATACCTGAAAGCAGCTCCTCCATATCCAGCACAGAGGAGCCAGAATCGGGGTCCCAAATCACGAGCCGGATTAATAGCAAATCCACCGTTGCTACCATACGTACCAGCAACCTAGACAATAGTCATGTCATTCTTGTTTATCCCCCGTATTTCTCCCCCTCAATATCATTATGAACGTTTTTACCATGGCCATGATGGCTCCGGCGAGCGGGGGCACGAAACCCGGCGGGATTTTGTGCCGTTTGTCGGTGATAAGGCAGACAAGACCGGATAGCAATGCAGTTCCGATGATCTGAAAAAACGGGGAACATGTCCGCTGACGAAAATACAGGGTGTCCCAAAACCCCCCCTACCTAGCGGTCCGCAGTCGATTCCGATTTTTACGATTTAGGTATCTATCGAAAGCTCTCGAAAAGGCGAGAAAACAAGGCGGGTTGAATTTCTTAATTAAGCCTTTTTATTTGCTAATTTTATGTCCAAAAACCATGAAAACTGCTGATTTATGCGAGATCTGCATGCTAATTGCGAAATTCCTGATGAAAAATTCCCGGTTTTTTAGGAAAAACTGAAATATCGATAGAATCAGATTAAATCTTAGAAAACGAAACCCGCTTGTTTTCTCGCCTTTCCGAGAGCTTTCGATTGGTATAAAAATCATTCCGATCCGATCCGATTGACGGCCTCTAGAGGGGGGGTTTTGGGACACCCTGTAGTATACCGGAGTTTAATGCGATAAAAGAACGGCACCAACGTTAAGAATTTGTACATTGTTATACCGTACCTGATCCAGCAGACTCCCCCAAGTGCTCATATGTTCTTTAGGGTAGGTGGCAAATAGGCCAGCGGTGCCATGATCGCCGAGAACGTTGCGATCTCCAGCGCTGAGGTAGTCGATATCGTCTGAATTTATTTTAGAAGATCGACCTTGTTAAAGAAAACCGCTTCGCGGCTCTGCAACTCTGGTCCTTGTCCGGACCAACTGACGGCCGTATTTTGCATAAGACTTGTCTAATTCCGACGCCAACGACAAATGCAAATTACCGCCTCAGCCCCTTTATATAAGCAATGTAAACCTCCAGTGGATGCTAATTTTATCCCTGCGTTAAGGTAGTTTAAAAATTGTATTTAAAATCATAGTCTGGTCATTTTGAAACATCAGTATCTGCAAGTTATCTTGCTACCATTATGCACGTAATGATGGATCAAACATATCCATATTTTTTGATATTGATACACAACTAAAACATACTGACGGAAGTGCTATGCAAAATGGCACATACAAGGTTAATATTTTTTATATATAGCACCAAGGTAGAAGCTTACCAAAATGACCAAACCAAGTCACACCAGCTCCAACGAATGCACCAAGTAGCTGCACGATCCAGTAAGCCAGCATCCTTCCCGCGGAAAGATTGCCGAGGATCAGTTGGGCTAGTGAGATCGCTGGGTTTAGGTGTCCTCCTAAAGAGCCGAAATTAGTATAGTCGCGTGCAATGTCAGATACCTGAAACGCTAGCGGCCAAATAAACAGCAAACATAAATCCGATGCCCCATGCAATCGTAGTCACGGCCGGATCTCCACCAGGCATTGCTCCTTGAATATTTGCCGACGTTCCGATAAACTGTAACAAGATTCATAGCATCTTAAGCTCTCTCAATCTTCTTACCACAAGCATAAAAGTGCCAATGAACTCGGCGAGGATCTCCCTCAACAAACTCCGATCCTCAATCCGGAACTTGCCGACAACACGCTCGCGTGCGTCCTCCATATCTGATACACAAACTAAAAACAAGATTTCCGCCAGACAACTGAAGATTGAAGCACACGGAAAACAACTTTATATTGGGATCGGCAGCGCGAGGTTAATTGCCCTTGACACTCACACAGTCAGCCGGCCATGGTTGTAACAAGATAAAATGTGTTGTTCCGGCCGATTATTTGGGTTGATCGGGTTACGGTCGTTACGCGCGACGGGGGAGAGAGATTTGCCGTTTAATTTATTGTCTTGGAGTTAATTGGGCCGTTTTATCTGCTACTGCCAAGATCTGATTTTCTAACCTTTTGATGATCTACAAAATAAATAGATTTTGAATTATTTACTCCCCAGTGGAATATGGTAGTTCTATATCTGGAATTAAACCAAGGTCAACCTACTCCCCACAAAAATTTCGCGAAGCGCGCAAAAATTACTGTCCATGACCGCCCTGCCGTCGCCCACCCACCCCCCAAAAATAGGAAATCGGCGGGGACGTTGATGGATGGGGCGGAGAGGGCTCTTCAAAAGTCACCTCGAGTAAAAAAAGAACCACGGGATAGCATGGAAGTGAACTGTTCACGAGGGGTGGGACATAAATTTTGGATATAGTACTTTGATTTCTGGACTTGGAAAGATAATGAAGAACATGCTTCAAGCTCAAGAGAAGTCGTTCTGGGATGACATTTGAGTTTTGAGATTTGCCATAACTTTATCGACAGAGCTTCAAATTTTCCGCAAAGCCCGTATTTCAGAAATCGCTGAAGAAGAACGATTTTCGAGAAAAAGTTTATCAAGGTTTACTTTTTGCTAAGGATCGGCACTGTCATGTCAAATTTTCTCGAAAACCATCACGGAACAACAATTTTTCGCAGCTGAAATTTACGAAAAATATTAAGCTTTATCGAACGAGGTAAGCCATGTGTCCGAAAAAAGAACTTCAAAACGCCGCCTTGCAAAAACTCCGGAAGAACATCGTGCAACCCTTTTGTACGGTTTCCTTTAGGTCTGTGTCATACTGTTCCACCAATTCGACCTCAATCCCCCGGCCCTCGAGAGCTAATTTGGCCTAGTGATGCTCCAAAAACAGGCCCTGAACTGCAGCCCCCAAAATTCCGGTCCAACTGGAGAACGTTGCACTAACATGACTTTTCATACTTTTTTATTCACTACTGAAATTAAATGTCTTTGTTGAAAGCGGTACAGATGAAAGGGCGGGGAGGGACGACAATTTGCAGTGATTTTGGAAAGACATACGGCAGAGATCATTTGGGATGGCGGGGGGTCAATAGCGCATATTCATTCATCTACCGGGCCAGCTTAGCAATACTCGATTCACTCGGTGTGTTCTATAGGATGCGCCAAATGGATGGGAAGGGGAAGGAGGTTTGGGTGCAAAATAGGGAAACAAAAATAAGTGCGGGGCTGTTGGTGAGTGTAAAAGATAGGGTGGGCGGGGATCGTCGGAAAATGGGGCGGTGGGGGCCAGTCTTTCTACAAATTATGCAAATGCCAAGTTTCGGGGTGTTGGCATACAAATGTCGGTAAGCCGGTGGTTGGCGGGATGAAATTCACGAAATTGAAGAGTGGACAAGTTGTAGCGGTGTGATTCATGGATTGGGATTGACATAGAGTTTGCGGCAATTTTGAACCGGGACCCCCAATGGTCGAATTCAATAGCGGGGGGGAAACTGGGCAACAATTGTCGAGACTTGGCGATTTTTTTGGGGAATAGGAAATCTATTGATTTTTAGTACAACACGTGGGTGATCTAAATCAACCAAATTGCAAGAACGGGGAACATTAACGCAGAGTCAAATCGATTAGTGTATGAGAATAGGTTGATGGTTGGAAAAGCATTTCTAGAATATCGCCTTCCGCTTTACGACCACCATATCGATTTTTGACAATCTATGAACGATTTTTCTCAGATGAGAAAATTGCCTACCCGTAGGAATTTGCGATACCCGCCCGATTTTTTGCCCTCATCTCGGCGACGGACGATCACGAGAACATTATCGGCTTCTTGAAGCACTCTCGAAGATGCGCCAAGAAGGGGCGCATCAAATTCAGAAGTCTCTCCCTATTAGGTAACTACATTCAGTTTAAATAATCTTTTACCTCAGTCTTTCTCGGGTGTACAACCATAGTCACATGAACACCGTAATCTGTAGCTATACGGCGAATAAGACCAACAAATCGATCCTGGAAGTAAAGGTGGTAATTATAACTATTAAGGAATCAGCTCACCTGCATTGAAGCTCGATCCATACTGGTACTCTTTTCGTCATGTAGGGTAGCCAGTCCAACAAGAAATTGTAGATTGTCAATGACGACATGTTGCGTACCACTGTTGACAATTTCATTTTTAATCGCCTAAAAAGTTTAATCCGTGATTTAATTATTTACTTACAGCAGCTATTTGATTTATTGTCTTGTCACGAAACTCCTCGGCCTTCATAATCGTCATGGCTCCTTTGGTCCGCTCAAAACGATCCAGCCAGGCTTCAACCGATGGATGATGCTCCACGCGATGTAGCGGGATCCTAATTTGACATAAAATAGCCATCTATTATTAAATTCCACATGCAAAGCAGCTTCTACAGTTTCTAAAGCAATTTCTCGGAGCTAGCCGATTACAAAGCTAACATAAGGGAGGTGCGCCTCCTTACTTGATCCCATTATAGTAGGTCCTCGACCGGGCCAGGCTCCGGAGGTGGGAGGGACTAGAGTGGCCAATTATAGATCATTTTCGTTAGATTAAAACATGGATAAAGTAAAGAAGCCGAGTTTCTAGTTGTGCTGTGGGGGTCTTGGCAACCACCTACTTACCCAGCATATTGAACCAGCATCCATTTAAGAATTTTCTCTTCCGGCATTTCAAAGCTGCAGAAAAGGGTTCGGATCTGGAAATATCGATATTAGGGAAACGGTCCGGTTCATACTCCTTGTGTCAACAGGTCCAAGGCGTATTCACAAAGAAAGGTTGTCTTGCCGTAGCCGGTGCCTCCAGTTAAAACAGTCAGTTCGGCAGGTCGAAACCCGATTAAATACCGGTTGAGAGCATCGAAACGTTTCCACTAAATTAACAAACCATTAATGAGTGATGCTAATAATACGGCTACCTGGCATAATCCAGCCGTCCTCGATTTACTGTTTAAAAGCTCATTTCGGACCTCATCTCGTATATCGAGCATTGATCTAATTAAGATATTTCAGAACACGTTCAAGTAAAACCTGAATCCAGTTTCCCTCATTCTGGAGGCTTGCTCCCGGATAATATGATTAATTTCCTTCTTTTGGTCATTTCGCAACAGCTCGATCGGCCGATCCGGAGACCTAAGAATTTCAATTAGTTTATTCACGAATTCTACTTGATAAGAAGACATCTGGATGGGTTCAGCACATGCGCAAAATCTTTTGCAAATTCCGTGTGGCGCTGTGGGAACCATAAATAGATCACATCGAATTCTTCAAGGTATTGGATCACCTATATATATATTTTTAAAGCTAATGGAAGTATGTATTACATCCATATCAAGCTTTTCACCCAGGGGAAGCGCAAATGTCAGCATGCCACCTGTTGCTTCATAGACTGCCAGGGCATCCCGCTAAATTACGCGTTTCTCACCGCAGCTCAAATTTACATACCTCATTGGTCGTTAATATCACTTTTCTGTCTGATCCGGTCATCATATGGTACCCAAAAATTCCGGCGAAGCGTCTATTATGATGATTATAAAGCGAAAAAGTTACGAATTTATACCCTTCGATCTCATCAGGAATATTTTCCTTTTCCAGCTTATCGCCAACTCTTCGAATCAATTTCAATCCCATTGGAGGTCTCATCCGAGAGCTTGGGCCACGATATCGAAAAAATAATTTTTGATTAATTTTTTAAAAGGAGATTTCTTTAGATTTCTTTCATTATTCCTCGAAAAGACGAATTAAATCATTTACCTGGGATACATAATGGCCATTTGATCATAGCTATCGGTGTGGCCGCGGACATTGAAACGGGATAGTGTCTCAAGTTTTATGCGCTAAAAGTACAGCTTATATTTAATTAAAAAACATCTGAAATAGCAGCAGAACAAGACATACATCGATCCCAAGCATGGTTCTCAAATGCAACATGTCGCTCTGTTCAATCGCATTCATTTCGTGTACATCGATAGATTCTGTCCAATATTGTCGAATGGCCGGATCAGGGGCCGTATTCTAAAAGTTAAATTTTAAAATTCATATTTTGAAAAAAAAATCCCAACCTGCTGGCTTTGTGCAACCGGCTGTTTCGATGTCGATTCCTCATTGTTTCGTGGGGAGATCAAATCCGCGCTAAAATTGCACATTAGCCTTTGCCTACAAATTTATAGACTCGGTATAATAACATGGCTAACTGCAACCTAGTAGGGAAGTGCGTTCCAGTCTGATACGCGCCAATCGGTAGCTCGTTGCTCTCGTAGCTCTCCACGAATTTCGTCCGGTATCGTAGCTGCTCGTCATCGGAAGGGGGAAGTACAAGAAAGTCATCAATATCGAGGGCATCCTGCTTGGCTCGATCTCGCCATCGAACATTCCGACGTGCCAAATAGCCTTCATCAAAGGAATCACTCTCCCAGTCTCGATCATATTCCCAATTCTTCCTGGGTGGATCCGAATCGTGCCTTCTCCTTGTTGTTCGCTTCGCAATCTGCTCTTCCAAAGCTCGTTCTCTCAATACTCGCTCGGCAGGGCAGTTGATAAATTCGAGGTCCTGGTTGAAGTTAGGCACAGACCGAGTAGGATTGAGGCTTTCATAATCGATTTCATCGGGGCTGGCAGGTCGTGAGCGATATGCTGTTCTGTCCGTGCGTCGTCGTGTCATCTGTAGTGTGGTCGCGAAGAAGAAGCCAAGTGGCAGGGTTGAGTGTGCGGGAGGGGCGTGTTCATGCGTGAAAGTGGGTTGTCGAATGTCCTTCGGAAGTGTGAAATGGACATAAGAAGGGACGGGTCCGTTTAGCTTTGAGTACTATACGACGATGTCGATGTGTGCCGATTTAGAAGTTGAGTTGGTGGAGTGGTTGGGAAGGGGGGCTTTTTGAGGGAATGTGAGGTGAGGTGCGGGGGTTTTTTCTGAATCGTGGTGTGGAGAAGAATAGGGGGGAAGGTGGGGGTGAAGGGTTGCCTAGGCAGCTATGGATGGAGGATGTGGATGTGGATGCCGTTAGTTCACCACTGAATTTGGAGGAAAATATTAGAGGAAAGAAACACGTACTCATCTCTTATTCGGCGTAGGGTGTCGATGCGATCGTTTTTCTTTCGATTGTCTTCTTTTCGGTAGTCATCCATGAGATTTAAGTAGGAGACCTTGTCGTAAAGGTCGTGATCAAGCTGAAAAAGCATAGTTAGCGAATTTCTTCTAATATGACCCGCAAAAAAAGGTTTAAAAATTTCGCTTAAGAAGCAAAAAATGTGGAAAACTTTTCTTGTTAAGCTTTGCACTGTTCGCCTGACTATGACGGTTTGTGAGCAGTTTCATTCTTTAAAGTTGTTGTAAGTGCTCAAAATCACAAAAATCTATCCCTCCTCCAATATAGCCACCCTAAGGTCATTGAAAACTAGAAACCCCTGGGTTATATTAGAGGAAATACGGTAATATAAGCCATAAAACCCTATCCGTAATGATTAATGAAGCTACTTTTGATATCAACCCACCATACCTCGGTCGGACTATCCATCCTCATCGATTCTTCAACAGTCTTTGTAGCTTTCCTCGTTACAGTATCCCGGCAGCACTCTTCTAATCGGTTGACAAGAACTCTTTTCTGCAAAACCACGAATCCTCAAAATCCAAAGGAAGAAAACAACATCGGAAGACTGCCTGAAAAGGGCAATCGGAAAAGGTATTTTGGGGGGAGTCCTCCATTGTTCGGCTAAGGCGCAACTCGGAAAAGATGAGGGGAGGTGAAAAAGCGTAAAGGTTGGGTGCATGCATGGTACATGCCGAAATTAGTATGAAGTGTTAGAACGAGTTGTGAAACGGACACGAACTAACTTAATTAACTTAGTATTGTTTTACTCTTATTAATCTGGTGATTCTCCGATTCATTATCGGCTTCTACAAAACCAAGGCATACAAGGACTTGTGTTTGCCAAAACAGTTGATATCGAAAGAATTCATCGGATTTGATCAGTTAGCCATGGAAGTAGCAGCAATAATCAGCGTGTAAAAAGCAAAACCCTTTGTTATCTAACATCTATGATAGTGCATCAGAAACGTGATGGTCACGAAATGATTTCTTCGATATCAGACGAAACTTAGCTGTTGATGATATCGAATTTAAGTTTGTGTGAATATTCAAGTTGCTATCTTCCTTCGGAAATCATTAACATGAATCCGTAGTTGGGATATATTATAGAAATCGGCAGAAGAAGCCTCTTTCCGTCTTTTGTTAGGCTGAGGCTTAGGTAGATGATGAACGAAAAACAGGTCGAACTATGAAGTTTCAAATTATCAAACTGAACAGTCGCCGTGCAACACTAAAAATCTGAAATTCACAAAATCGACTTTGTTAAAAGAAACCCGTTTGCGAAACTTGAGTGTGGCTGGGCGGGCACAGCCAGGTAGAGCCAGAGGTGGGACGGCGGAACGAAAATACGGGTATCCGACCCGGCAGCAGCCTCAAGACCCCCCAGGCTCAGCCCTCCAAAGAGAGGAATGACCAAAAGTGGTTGTGTGGTGGGCACCTGAAGACGAGGTGGAAGTGGTGGAGGTGGGAGGGGGAAGGGGCCATAATAGAGCTCCTGACGGAAGTGGCCGAAATATAGGTGGATGGGAGGAGTGGTCTCGTACCTCGATACAGACGGGAAATATCAGCATTATAAGTGGATGATGATCTGGGGTGGGTTGGGCTCGGGGTAGACATCTTTTCCTGGGTGCAGTTGGACGTGATTGGTCCGAAGATTTTGGGGTTGCTGGTGTTTGTGTGTGCCAAAAATGAAGGCTGACCAGCTTCGGCTTAGAAATGCTTAGACAATAGTTATCAATGCTAATTTCTTGGTGGCTCCTTTCATTCACTGGGGTGCCCGAAAAACCTATATTAGCGGCTCGAAGGAATTTGGGCACGGGATTTTTTTGCGCATTCGAAAGGTCTTGAACACTGGAATTTCTAATATTCTAAAATAGTAAATAGTAACCGCAAAATGTGAAGCACTATCCCACAAACTATTTTTTTGTCACAAAGGCCCGCGAATTAGGATGCTGAATTGCTATTTGTTTCCTCATTCTTCGCCAGTTAGCTAAATCATCGAAACTTTGCATTTCTCCGTGCCTCTTCAAAAATTTTTTGATGCATTCTTTTTGCGTTTAGGTTCTCCCGCAACAACCTAAGCAAAACAACTCAAAAAACCCAAAAACAACTTCTCAACTTGACACCAGCTTTTTAAAACCCCCGTTCAGACACTCGTTACCACTTCCTGAACACCTACGCGATGAACAATGATGGTGAAGCCCAGTTCCCCCTTGTCTCCACCACCACCACAACCTCCCAGGTGGTTCCTTACATACACCGCTTTTCAACCTCCCCTCCGGCCATGGAGAGCCCGAGAATGAGGTGCGGGGCCCAGATCGAGCGGAAGCAATTCCCGGCTCGCCTCTCCTCTCTAATACACCTTTCCGATAGACGCAAGAAAATATTGAAGAAAAAAGGGGGTGAACGGAAAATCGTACAACGGACGTGAGTGTCGCATGTCTGAGGGTGGACATGAGGGTAGAGAGAGATGTAGAAACGGAACACACCTTGTAACTAATGCGGCGAGGGTCGGTGTTTTGGGCAGTGGTACAACTGAATGTTCCGTCGATCTCTGTTTCGATGTGGCTGCTGGGGCCACCGCAGCGGGTGCAGTCGATCAGTTTTTCGGAGGTTCTTTTCTGTAATTGAAGGTATAATCGGTCATTGGTTCTCTCATAGAGCTTTAAAGTTATTTAGTAAACACAACAACGACCGAAAAATTGCAGCACATCAATTGATAACATTTTCAAGCAAACTGATTTTTAAAGCATAGGCCGCTTCAACCCTCCTAGTTTTTGAATAGCGCGAGGATACCGTACAAAAACCCTCACATTGACATTCTGCTTCTTTTGATACATCCTCGAGGTATCAACAATCCGTGGCAACTTTAACAGCTCCCCCGTCACTTCCTCATTCGCTGACCGTTCAGCTACTGCCAACATCCCCTAAAACGTAGTCGTCGCAAAGTTCAATGGGGTTGATGGAAAAAAGTCGGCTGCAGGCGAATTTTCGCGCGTGAATGCACTTGACCGAACGGCTATATGGCTGGTTTTTTGGGCATTGAAGTGCCCGAAAAAGTGGGCTTCATGTAAAGTGTGGGCAAAAAGTGTATTGGTTTTTATAGTAATTTGAAATAGGTTGTTCGAAATCGTCAAGGTTATAAATAGGGAAAAACGACCGCGATAAATTGTTCGCACGAATTCACGATAGTCGAAAAACCACTCCGCGGCTTTTCAATCCCGGATCAGAAGGGGACCATAATAATGGAAAACCTGCATCATAATCTCACTGGTACAAGCAGGAAACATTGCTTTGTACCCCTTTTCAATGGCTTACATCACTTCCGGTGGTTGCAAATTTATCCTTTATCCTAACAAACAGGGTTAACCCGATCGTATCATTAAAACATGATTTTAATATCCAAAACGACAGGCTTTCAAAGTTCTAAAAGCCCGCAACTCATTTAGAAAAAAAATTACGCATTTAACGATTTATCATACTTAGCGAAAAGCCCTTCTATACTGGCAAACCCTGACGGGAATTCCATGCAAAGCGTAACACACTACTTTTTGGATAACGTAGGATAATCCCAGAAAAACATCAAAGCTTGAAGCAAACACTTGATAGTCTTTTTCAGGTGAACTACCCTCCGACACCCGCGAATTTGCATGTAGACCGGAAGGCGGTGCTCGCGGCGCCGGGTGGTCCAAATTGTCGGGCGCAAACGAGGAAGTATAGCTCGTTTTGTGTGTGTATAAGAAGACATTGATAGCTTTCGGGAAGAATAGTGTAGAGTTAGGCTACGAATATTTGCGGGGCTCTTCTTCTATGGTGGTATTGCTTTTTGGTGGGTGGGTATGGGGGAATTGAGATGTCGGGTGAAGATTTATTGCAAAGGATGGGCCAGGGTATGCATACCAAAAAATGCATATAAATTTAAGGACCGTGAATAGCTTAAATTTGGTGTAATTTGCATACAAGCGTTAAAAATAGATATTTATTATCCGGATTTTATGTAGATCGTAAATAACTTTACAAATCGTTCAAAATCCAACTGCTCGTTCATATAGCTAAAAACGTATTTCAAAATTTTTCGGAAATATACTTGGTCTCGAAAAACATTTCTACCACTGAAGCTCGTAAGGGATTACTCTGAAGCCCAGGAACTTTGAGCAAATCAGCCCGAGTTAAGTATCCACAGCCTGGAAAAAACGTCTGAAAAATTAATAGCATTACCTCGGGTATCCAAGGTACAAAACCGCTTGTAAATTTTCTTCTGCTCTTTGTTGGTCACTAAAAACAGGTCCCATAAACGCCAAAAGAACTTACAACAGGTCTGGATCGTTAATTCCTGAAAATCGGGTTGAAAGGAATTGATTGAATTTGGATGTTTTTGACCCATTAAATGGTGAGGTTAGCTGGGCTAGCTGCTGGGAATAAAAAGGCTTTGGATGGATTGAAAGCGAGGGAGAACTGGAAAGCTAGTGTGGAAAAATCGCCAGTTTGAGGGATATCGATATCTATCCTATCAAGGTCATTTATCAGGTTGGAAGGTAAGTCCTGTCGCCGAGATTTTGGAAGGCTGGCTAAAATCGTAGTTAGCTCCATTCTACACATGCGATATGTCATTTTGTAGCTCTCCGCCTGAACCGTTTCGGGAGGAGGGTCCTAGTCTGCCAAAATCCAGGAGGACCGAGATACGGGCCCAAGAAGTTTTTGGAAAAATTGAGCGAAAGTGTTTTTGCAAGTTATCTCTGCATGGAGCAATTTGCATACGATACCTTTAACACAACACCTCTCGAGGAGTAGATATCGATAGATCTTAAGATCATCAAAATTGAACACCGGATGGCCGAGATACAGGCCCTTCAAATTTGGTCCACTTCTTAGAACTTTTTCCGAATTCCCATACATTTCGTTGGATTTGACCAGCAGGTGCCAAAAATTGCCGCTTTATTTTTGGACGCGCCGAGCGGATTTTGACCAAATGTATGGGATTTCGAGAAAAGTTCTAAGAAATGTTCCAAATTTCAAAGGCCCATATCTCGGCCGTCCAGTGTTCGATTTTGATGATCTCAAGATCTATCGATATCTACTCCTCGAGAGGTATCGATTCGTGTTAAAGGTATCGTATGCAAACTGCTCCATGCAGAGATAACTTGAAAACCACTTTCGCTCAATTTTTCCAAAACTTCTTGGGCGGTCCCCTGGATTCTGGCAGCCGACCGGTAGACCCCCAAAAACAGAGAGGCTGAAATGAACATATAGCGTATGTAGGGAGCTAGGCGGGTTAGCCACCTCCAAAATCAAAGGACTTACCTTCCAACCTGATACTTTATTGAGAACGGGATAGGAAGTTTATTTAGAGACATTACAAAAGAAAAAATTAAGGAAATTTACTGCGAAGATTCCACATTTACGGTGTCGTTTCATTTTTCGGTACCATTTTTTCTGGTGCTAATTAATTTGCAGCGTTCTTCCCCGAATATCCTTTTGGGGCGAAAATTAAGTAACTCAAACGATACAGCGGCTTCCCTTTCAACTCTCTTCCATTTTCCCCAATAGATTTACTGCCACCACCCGTCAGATGATTCAAAAGGAGGGAAGGATCGATTGAGCCCTGAGGGTGTAACAAATCGACCAGATTGGGGCTCAATCGGGTCACATATGTCAAAATACGACTGCAGTGCTTCCTCGTCCATTTTGTGGCATGCTCAGAAATGATGTCTTTCAGCCCATTATTGTTATTGTTGATTTTTGCCCCGTTTCTGGAAAGGTAGGGCATGCTAACTTCCCTAAAAATCAATAATTAGTCGTAAAAACATCATCCTGATTTTGACGGATGATCAGGATATTGAGCTGGGTTCTATGGATTTTATGCCAAAAACCACAAGACTTTTAAAGGTAGCTTCCCCCTACACTAATATTTATTTTAATTTTAGGATAAAGGAGTTGAGTTTACTGGAGGCTTTGTAACAACGCCAATTTGCTGTCCGAGTAGGAAAAATTGTATTATTTTAGCTATATCTAGGTCGTTCTTCAATTTTGACGGGTTTGTATGTGCATAATCACAATGTTCACACCAACAATAACAATTGTTCGAATCCGATTTGGAGGTGAAACTATTTATTTTAACTTACAAAAAAAAAATGAATGCAGGAAACTTCATGAACCCTATACTTTTGGCGCCTATCTACAGAAAAGCGGTTATAAAACCGCGTATTTCGGTAAAAAACATTATTTTTTATAAAGTTATAAATTTAGGAAAATACCTAAACGAATACACCGGAAGCTATGTTCCGGAAGGATGGAGCCACTGGATGGGGTTAATTCGGAACAGCCGCTTTTATAATTATACTCTAAACACCAATGGAAATCTTAAGAAACATGGGTTTGATTATCAATTGGTAAGACACAAAATAAAATTTGAAAAATGTGATTAGGATTATTTAACTGATGTGATTACAAATTCTTCACTTAAATGGGTCGACGAGCATTTGGCTGATTCTTCGGATGACCCATTTCTTGCTGTTTTGTCATATCCGGCTCCACATGGACCCGAAGACCCGGCTCCGCAGTTTTCCGAGAGTTTTGAAAATGTTAGTACGCATAGGTTTGTTTAAGAAAATCCTTTTTGCATCCAAATTAGAACCGCTTCTTGGAATTATGCTCCAAACCCGGATAAGCAATGGCTATTACAACAGACTGGAAAAATGGAGCCGGTAGGTGAAACGGCCTGCTCCTTTCCAAAATTACTTTAGGTCCATGTAGCCTTCACCGATATTTTGCATCGAAGAAGAATTCAGACGTTGCAAAGTGTTGATGATTCTGTACACAAAGTACAAAGTTTTGCCGTTAATACCCCAATATTTTTTAGATACTAACGAGCCTTCGTGAAAAAAAACCAATTGTCAAATACCTATGTTATTTATACTTCCGACCACGGCTATCATCTAGGCCAATTTGGTTTGATCAAGGTACATATCACCATTTTTCTCTTTGAAAGCATGTTTTAGGGCAAAAATATGCCGTATGAATTTGACATTCGGGTCCCGTTCTTCATTCGCGGCCCTGGAATCCCAAGAAATGCTACGTGAGTGGAATGCAAAATTAAAGCGCACGTTCAGGGAGGGGCCGTATACTCGTCCCAACGTATACACCCTATGGACGTAGGGACCGCGCGCACTGCCTGCCCGTGCTGTGACAGGCAATTCCCCCCCCTTTGCAGCGTGGGGCGCCTCGCGCCCCTCGCCGGGTTGTAGCTGTGGCTGACTGGTATCCATCCGCGCCTCCCGAGCGGGGGGCCCGGGTTCGACCCCCGACCGCGGCGAAAATCTTTGCTTTTTTTCAAAAAAAAACGTCCCTGAACCTGCCCTTTAAACAGTCTATTTTTAGAGTGCGTAAGGCCGTAGCAAACATCGACATAGCGCCTACGATCCTCGCGATGGCAGAGGTCGAAATACCTGATCGAATGGATGGCCGATCCCTTTTAGATTTATTCCAATCAGGGAAAGGTGGCTGTTTAGACTCCTCCATAATATTATGATCTAACTTTAGGGGCCAAAAAGGACGGCCAGCTAGCCCCGTGGAGAGATACAGTACTCGTGGAGCGAGGGTAAGTCTCGAGCATCGGCTGTGAAATAGGCTTCAGCCTCCCATATTAGGAAAATGCCTCGATTGCGGAAAGTGAGGGATCGTTGGATGACGATGAAAGCTGTTAGGAGTAAAGATACACGTCTAGCCAAGGAATGTTCAAGCGGGAAATGGAGTGGGCCATGCAGCCCGTTTCAAGTATTTATTCTTTCTCCATTCGAGAAATAAGTATTAGGCTTGGAAATGCTATATTGCGGAAGATAGTCGGTGGCGGATTCATAAATGCCGGAGAAGACGTCGAGGGTGTCCATGTCGACGGAGAGAGAAACGTCAAATTGATGAGGTATAGGTACATACATATTTATATAGTAGTTTTTACAGGAGCTGATTGATGAATTTCTTCAAGAACGCTATGTCGATAACATGGCAGCGTCGTCTGAATGGCATCAAGGAATCTTTGAGGTTGAGGAGGGAAAGGTTGGGTTCAATTTTTGGGATAGTTTGTTTTTTATAGCTACGTATGCGTCGATCGTTGGAAGAATGTCCTTGTTTTGGAAACATGACCAACACCGATCATCCATTAAAAGGATTTGAGAATTCGGAAGAAGATGAGGAGTTTCTAGATTCAACACTGAGCAAGAAGCAAAAGAAGCGATTAAAGAAACAGCAAGTGAACATAAAAACCAAGAATCATAGTTTTAGGTTCAATTCCTGCTCGCTTCCACAAATGAACTGCTTTACCCATAAAGCTTCTCATTGGAGAACACCACCGTTGTGGCCAGAGGAATACGGCGAATTTTGCTTTTGTCAAAATTCGAACAAGTAATTTTGAATCTTAGAAAAATACGGGTTGTTTAGTAATACCTACTGGTGTCTTCGTGGACTAAATTCTACGCACAACTTTTTGTACTGCGAGTTTGTAACCGAATTTATTTCTTACTACGATTTAAATGTGGATCCTCATCAAGTAAGAAAACGAAATATTCTATGATGAGTTTCAGCTTACAAATACGGTTTATCATCTCGACGTTGGGACCTTGGAGGCTTTGAATAGTCAGCTCAAGTTACTACGGAAATGTCAAGGCAGGAGGGAATGCGAAGCGGCTTCAAGTAGTCAGTGGAGAATAGAAAATCCTGTCGAATCATCGAAGAAAGATCGATTTTCGGATAATTTGTTTGAAAAATAATATATTGATCTTTAGTGATTACTAAATACGTGTTTGATATATTGTCCAAAAATTTTTAATTATCTATTTTAATTTTTTTATAAGACGGGGCATCGACTGTCTTTCCTGCTTTTTAAGAGTGCTCAATACTACAGCTTTTTACTTTGAGGATGTTTTAAGAAATAAATATTGAAATTTACGCACCCGAACAATACACACTTTTGAATTAACCCGGGATATGGGCTCCGGGGAATGAACTGAAATATCACGGGGAGAAGGGTGAAAAACTTATATTCTGTGAGCATATACTGTAAGGGTCAATGGCAGATACACGATAAAGCTGACCGGCAACGACTAGCAACAAAGAAGGGTAAGGCTGGCTGGTCTTTCTAGCCGTAGAAAAATTAGTATAAAAGTTCAACGTAAGAAACATCAGATGGATACCCATAAAATGGCAACGGGAAAACATAATAACAAGTATCAAGATAGAAAAAACCATAAATGAACAAAATAAACCTAATAAAGTCTTCGGGGGTCCATTCGGAACGTTGGTGTACGTTCCTCATCAGATTCCGAACGATCTGGTGGAGTTCCTTTTAGGGGAGCCTTGCTATCAAAGTGATTTGGGTAGACTTCTTCTTCATCATCGTACGAATCGTATTCAGAGTCATCAGAATCCCCGCATTCTTTTCGATAAGCTAAAAAATATAATGCAAATGTAAAATAGGGCAACAAGTACCTTCCGCCTCTGCTGTATGATGGTCTGCTTCTTCTTCTGTGGGGAATAAGAATCCGGCAAAACTGAAAAAGCACCGTATAAGATCAGTATATTAATATCAAGTTAGGAACAATACCCAATTAGCCACAAACGCTTACTCAAAATAGTCGTCTTCCGGAACAAGCCCGTGATTGGCCCTATGTTTGTTCAAAAATGATGCAACCGGATCCGGCTCCTCCGCCGTTGTATCGTCATCTTCTTTTCTCATCGAACTCTTTTGAGCGGCTTCCTAAATTAATCAGCTTTTACATTTCAACGACCTAAAAACACCTGTAATAACAGCTTAGCTTCCATCAATTCATTCCTATAATGATCGCATTCTTCACATTTTGAGAGGAATTTCTGCTTGCTGAGTATCGTCTCAAAATACGAATAAATAAATATGTATCCGATGATTTTACCCTTTCCCTCATTTCATTAGCATCGATACGGAGCTTTTCGTTGATGAGCTTTTCTCGTTTCAGTGCCCTATCAAAAAAATTAGATTTGAGAGTTGAGGGTTACGCAGTATGTTCTTCTTCCATTCTGGCAACAGTTTGCTCGAGGGTATCTCTTTCGAGGATGGTGGCCGCTAGAAATCAATAAGAAATCACAACAAGCTATGAAATACCATAATCCTTGTTGATTTCACTCATGTGTTCGGCGATTTTCGCGAACCGATCGTTGATATCAGGCGAAAAGATATTGTTAATCTAAAGAATTAGGTTTTAACGATTTTGTGTCGAATTTTGTACCTCGAGTAGTTCTTGCAATCTCAAAACCTCAGCTTCCAATTGAAAATTTTCCTCGCGAGTGTCGAAAAGCGGGTCGAGTAATTTCTGAGACGATCATTATTCGGTGTTACATCCAGTTGTTACTTACCTTTAATGCAGCAATTTCATTATTGGCCAAATCGAGCAATACTTGCGTATCAATTGCTGTTCTCCACTCCGCCGGACAACTTTTGGTTTTACGATCCATTTCTTGCTGTAAACGGCGTTTCCTTTGCTGTTTAGGAAGCTTACCTTGATTTCCTCAATTGTCAGGTCTTTTTCCTTGCTTTCCATAGCAATTCGTTTATTTGACTCGGCAATCTCGCAAATCTTCTTTCGATATAATTCGACAGCATTTAGATGCTTCTCGCGAAGCCGTTCTTCTTGCGCTTGTAGCTTTTTGAAGGCCTAGTGAACCGTATTGAAAAGTCATGAAAATTTTTCGTACCGCTATAATCCCATCTCTTTCTCGAAACATTTCTTCTTCAGTACGGGCAAAGCGTTTGATTTTGGTTTCATTATTCTAAAGCGAAATTCGAGTTTGGTTGACCGTCTTGCTAATTACGGTTTGATCTTGTAATCTGGAAGCTAATTGTCGATTCCGATTTGCATGGATTAAGCGGGTGCTGCGCTCATAGAATAAATGTTGATTCACCAGTCGAAGGCGGGCTTGTAGGAGTTGTTTCTAGAAGATGGAATTTTGGGTGATCTATTACTTTCTACCTGTCCTTCAGCTGTTAAATTTTGTAAAATATGAGACAAATCATCATAGATTCGGCCTGGTAGTTGATCGGCTATATGCAATTCCTAAATATCATGATAGCAACTAGTACGTGGGCTATTACCTTTAACGTCTGATGGTACGCTTTACTAGCTACCATATAATCGTCACGATTCGATTTTCCCTGATTCTCCAGATGATTTTCGATGTCCGAATCTAGTAATTTTGTTTTTGTCTGACCATGAACTACTTACAAATGCTCATCTTCGGTCCGGTGAGGAGCTCAAGGTAAGGGAAAAGTTGCAACATCTCATCGTTGGATTTTGGGAATGCTTGCGGTATATAATGACCGGGCGGCACTGCTTCTTGCGATTTCTTATGCATAATTGGTTCTGGAAGGCTTTTCCGGCGGGATAGCATAGTTCGCATTTCCGGGCAAGAGGAAGAACGGCTAAAATTTGCTGTCTGCTAGGGAAGCTTTTCTTTGCTTACTGTGTTCCATGTTTTGCATTCTCAACAAATTCTTGCAATGCGTCATCAGTTCTGCGGGTATTTTCCTGTGATAGTCGATTACCGGTTGCTAAATTCGGGAAAATTTCGAAGGAAAGTGTCCTGTTGTACCTGATCTAAGTTTTCTTCCGCTCCATCTTCGCCTGAATGAAGAAATCGAAGGTCTTCTAGATTTAGGGCTGGATCCGTTTGATTCATCGGTGTCGTACTAAAATACATTGCAAAAATATAAATTCTGACTTACAACAGACGGCGATCTTGAACCAGATTGTGATCCAATTTCTCCTTCATAACTAAATTCTCGTATAAACTTATCATAGGTAAAGCATACACAAATTCTCCTGAATCGTTCAATTTAAATTTATCCGGATCCAAGTTTTCAATACGTTCCTTGTGAGAACTTCTGACGGATTCCCGGGCTGCATAGACCCCATCGAAATAGTTGGCCGTCTTAAAGAGGTTGAGGTTTTTTTTTCCATTACTACATACCGTAGAATTAGCCCTTGATGCCGCATAAACAGTGCCCAAAAGGTCGGAGATTTCTTGATCTACATCAGGCTCAATTGAGGCTGCTCTGGGGCGTTGTTTCATTGTTCCACTAAAAATCAGTTTAATAAGAGAGGTAATCTTCTTACGTCATCCTCCTCCTAACCTCCGACGCATTTGATTCTGCACGTTCGCGGCTTATTGCCTCGATTTCGGGAGAAAGTAGGTCAGCTAATTCGATGGTTTCTTCAGCTTCTTCGGCAGGGCTAACTTCTGGGTCCTAAACAGGTTTTCAATTTTCCAGGATCATTTCTATACCTCCATATCATCCACTTCGTTCAACACCTCCACTAATGGTTGATAGACCTTTTCTGCGTTCGGCGACATCACTTTTTTGACACCTTTCATCAGTCTTGTAACCAGAGAGTCTGCGGAGAATTCCGAGACATCAGGACGCTGCAAAAAAAAGGATAAATCACATTGGTGTTCCTGAAACAAACCGCTTTTGGTTTCTTTAAACTGCTGGTCAACGCTCTATCGTGTAATGACAACGATCTTGGATCTGCGGGTGATTCTACCATATCGACAAATGATGCGTATGGGTTATCAGGAGGTGAAGTGGCTAAAGCTTGTATATGCTCTCACTAAGCACCTTCTCAGTTACCTGTATTTGGAAGTTGTGCCACTCTTGGAACGACTTGACCACTAGGGCCAGGCTGCTCCTCTTCAAGTTCCGCGACTTCTTCTTCAGCATGACTTGGTATCGTCTTGGCAAACAGAGCCTCGAAAGCTTCGACGCCTTGTTCGTCAGGAATGAAATCGTCAGAATCATCGTCATCCCGATTAAAACCATCTATCGGCACAACAGCTCGAAGTTGTCGATCTTTCAGGGCAAGTTTTTCATGTTCTTTATCCTCTTCTGGATCGCGGACTATAAACTTAACGCGATAACAAATCCAGATTATTTAGGCTACCGTTGTATGTCATTGGAATCAGTCCAATAACATTCTTTCTGCAATCATCAAGAAAATCGTGTGCTTCTCTTCTTGACCATCTGAAAGATCCCATCATTTAAGCTCTTCTTCGATTCTTACCGTTTATTTGACAACTCGCTCGATTTATCCATCAACAACAAATTTGGATGCAACCGCACTCCACTTAAAAGTGGTGCCATCACCTTTTCAACAAGTGTAGTATTTTTCTAAATTCGTTATGGTTTTCTATTAAATCTGAATTACCTTCTTCGCAGCTCGAAAAAAATTACGGAGGTGATTGACAAATGTAAGGGGATAGATGCCATATAGAGTGTGAAAATATTCTCTAACGGCGTATTGTAGATGGGAGACGTTAACTTTGTCCATCGGGCTATCATTTGTATCGAGATCATGTAACTAAATCAGTACAGACTATATCTAATTTTACTTTGATGGTACCTTTCCTTCCAAAAATCCGGCCGCATTTACAAAAGTGTCGAAAAGATGTTTTAGTTGAGCTTCCGGGAGTATTGGACAATGTGGGAGGAAAGCTGATAGAAAAAGCAGTGCAGCAATATCTTCACCCATCACACGTGTATGGGATCTCTGAAAAATTATTAAAAACTTGTCTGGAATTTCATCGCCACTTACATTAATAAATTTAATAATGACGGCAAACACGTCATGCGTGGCGATTTTCCCGACCCATTCCTGGTCTTGTCCCAATTGGCCAAGCAAAATAATAGCAGCATTGGTCGTTTTCTGTGCTTTCAGCATGTCTCGGACATGATCGAGTAGAACCTAAAGATATATTTTTAAACTATAGCCGAAATACCGTATCATATGGCTCCCGTATCGAACATATCATATCCACCGACTGCTCTGAGCCATATTCGGCATAATGCTGGACAAGCTGACGGATTCCAATGCCCCGTTCAAGCTGCTGGCGGACAATTTTGCAAGCTTCATGTTGGATATCCCTATTTTTTCGTATAAGCAAGTTTTTCGGCGACTTACCGCTCCGCAGATTCCAGGAGATTATATATTCTAGTAATATTGGGTGGTCGGCGTGGGGTCGCGGAGGAACCTATTATTTTAGCCTTTATTATGAATATTGTTATATCACCTCGGCTCGACCCGGACGAAGCTCGCAACATTTTTAGGCCCCTATGCAAATCAGGGTGTCGCTTTTCTATAAAAACCATGTCTTTGGGTTATTTTGCCTTTAATAAGCAAGAGTTAAGGTGTACCAATCAATGAAATCTATAATTGGAATGATTTTTATGTCTAATTTTTGAATAATGCAATTTTTAATATAATTTAAGATGTATTGCGTCTACAAAAAGTGAAATTCTTCATCATACGTAGATTTTTAGAGAGAAACTGAAGGATGTGATTCTTTTCTTGGAAAATGGCAGTTCCAAAACCCTCTAAAACCTTCATTTTCAAAAATATCAACTATAATAAAAAAGTAGCGGTGTCCGTCTGTCCGTCGTGTCCCGGATTCAACTCGAAGGGGAAAGGAGCTAGAGCTTAGGTCTCTTCGGATTCGGATAGAGCGTGGTCAGAAACCCCCAAACTGATAAAAAAATTATGAAAAACTTTTAGTTTAAATTATTAGAATTAACTTTGAAAGTTTTTTCCTTAGTAAAAGGGGTGGGGGACGGAGGTTGGGGTGATTTGGGACATAGTGAGCCAGGTGGCGCGCGTTTCGTGGATGAAAATTTTCACGGGGGATTTCATTTCTTTTTTTCTCTCATTCCATCCGGTCGGTCGTTATTTTTGTTTTTTAAGGGGATTTCGGGCTAGGGGAGGTATTTTAAACCATCAGGAAGGTATTTAGGTAGTTTTTGAAGGGGATTTCAGCCATGCGGGTATCTGAAGCTATCGGGAAGGTATTTAGGTAATTTTTGAAGGGGATTTCAGCCATGGGGGGTATCTGAAGCCATCAGGAAGGTATTTAGGTAGTTTTGAAGGGGATTTCAGCCAGCGGGTATCTAAGCTATCGGGAAGGTATTTAGGTAATTTTTGAAGGGATTTCAGCCAGGGGGTATCTGAAGCCATCAGGAAGGTATTTAGGTAGTTTTTGAAGGGGATTTCAGCCATGGGGGTATCTGTAGCTATCGGGAAGGTATTTAGGTAGTTTTTGAAGGGATTTCAGCCATGGGGGTATCTGAAGCCATCAGGAAGGTATTTAGGTAGTTTTTGAAGGGATTTCAGCCATGGGGGTATCTGTAGCTATCGGGAAGGTATTTAGGTAGTTTTGAAGGGGATTTCAGCCATGGGGGTATCTGAAGCCATCAGGAAGGTATTTAGGGTAATTTTTGAAGGGATTTCAGCCATGGGGGTATCTGAAGCCATCAGGAAGGTATTTCGGTAATTTTTGAAGGGGATTTCAGCCATGGGGGGTATCTGAAGCCATCAGGAAGGTATTTAGGTAGTTTTTGAAGGGGATTTCGGCTATGGGGCGTATTTGGAGCCATCAGGAGTTTTCTAAGTAGTGTTTTAACGGGGGTTTCGGCTATGGGGGGTATCTAAAGCCATCAGCACGGATATTGATAAAGTTAGGGAAGGAATGTGGTGGTGTAGAATATGGAAGGTAGCCCGGAGGCCAGCCGATTACAGCCGCGACGCGGCTGTAATCGGCTGGTATCATTATAGATGCATAAGTTGCAATTATACCACTGACCCTTTGATAAGCCGGCTTCAAATGCACTGTTACGAGGGCACCCGAGGTGAACGTCCTTAGTATTTACCCGTAGCAGGGGATTTGGCCGCCGGCAATAGACACAGCAAACAAGCACGACCAGTCTACTTAGGCCTTTTTTTGCAATTGTTCGCATCGATTTTTGAGGTGGTTTTTAAGCCTTTGTTTTCCGGTTTTGGCATCCCCACCCAAGTGGCGATAAATGGGGCACCACGCTCGGCAGATTTTTCGATGGTGTGTGGAATTTTAGCAGTTTAGATTTCGTCGATTCACATTCATTTCGCCGAATTTTCATTTCGCTGAATGTTCATTTCGACGAATTTTATTTCGCTGAATCTTCATTTCGCTGAATTTTCATCTCACCGAATTTCATTTCGCCGAATGTGTATTTTGTCTAAAGTTTGTTGCACCCACCTTCATTCGGCGGAATTTTCGTAGCCCTTTATCTAGCGAACAATAAAATATAACTTAGCTGTCCTCTTCTTCAGACATAGGTCGAAGAAAATATCAGTGCCGCTGTTTTCAACGAAGGCAAAGTTATCTTTGATGCTCGGACAAAATCATGTGGCAGGCGGAGCAAAGGATTGTAAATTCCAAGGTCTCCCACATAGATTTTCTTAGGTAATTCGGCAGCATGAACATTCGCGAAATGAACATTCGGCGATATGAAAATTCGGCGAAATGAAGATTCACCGATTTCGTCACTCTTAAAATCTGGGGAAAGACAAGTGTTTTAAGATGTTTAGGGGCATTGTTGTGAATTTTCAAACGAGCGGCTCGTACCGTAATATAGCTATAGATCGGCATACCGTAAGCTTAAAGGGCTGGAGAAAGATGGAATCGGTGAAAGAGCAAAGAGGGGCGCACCGGACGGTAATAAGGTTTTTTTACCGTAATAAGGTTTTCGTGGTTGCTTAACCTTCTAAGTTTGCTGACGCTACATGTCGTTTAGTCGGGTATCAAAAACATTTCCTAGTAGCTTAGTAAACTTAATATATAAAAGGATCATAGTTCCGGTGTTTCTCTAGGCTTCCCATTTCTATTTTTCGCCCAGTTCGAGTAGCCTAGCCGACGAACCATGAGCAAATAAGCAGATCGCCCGATTCAGGTTCTGATTTCAATTCATTCTATCTTCCTAATTTTAATCTCGGTATTTCCCTATTGGAAGCATCAATGCCCCAATTTTGAACTTCGAAAGCAACCCGCCTCGGCATTAGCATAATCACATGCGATCTCTTTGTGCGTGCAAATCGGCTGGTTTCCTCGGCCCGGTTGCCTTCCCTCGGTCTCGTTTGATACTGTGGACTCTCGAGCTCCGCGTCTGCTCTCTCCGTCTTCCGCATGTCCACTCACGTTGCTCCCGGAAAGGCCGAAAATATCAACGGTCGTATCATCCGCTGAGGGGACATTGAGGGGGGAACTGGCTGGCTGTGTCCTCTATACCATCCCTTTCTTTCTATTCTCAGGGTTACTTCCCATGGCACACTCCCACCAGAAAGATTTCAGAGTAAATATTTGAAGAAACGCCAAAACTTTTTCACATTTCACCACTCATTTGTCGTTTTGGCGTTGGAGGAGGTTTGGAGTATATGTGTTAGTGTACCTTTCATTACTTGCGCTCCAATTTTTCACAATGTTTTTCGCACTTGGCTGTTTTTCCTGTAGTTTTGCAACCTATTTCTCTTTCAATTTACGCCTGTCCCTGTCAAAACCTTCAAAGCGCGAATGATCACTCTTTTTCTAGCTTCCCTCTCTTTCTCTCTCTCACTCTCTCGCACTCTCTCGCTCTCTCTCGCTCCTCCTAAGACTAATTTTTAATTCATGACCCTTCCAGAATCCCAGGAATTTTTATGCCTTTTTATACCGTGCAAATATTTTCACTTGGTCATTCCGGAGTGACGAACCAAGAAAAAGGGTGACTCCGTCGATTTTCTCTGAAATTCCTTATCGCCGCGCCCCATCTTTTTACGGAAGCCTGAACCGCGTTTAGAACAGAAAGAGCTCGTGTTTCTCGCTATTACTTTTACAGAATTTAACCTTCCGGCAAACGGGTGTTTTCACGGAATTCACACGTAAAAAGGGTTGTTTACAACCCAGAACCACCTGCCTGGATCTAATTTGGCCACTTAAAAGGGGTTTTTTCTTAGAGGCTTTTTCCGAAGGCAAATGCCCGAACAGTCATTTTTCCAGTTTTCAAAAAGCAAAAGCAAATGTCCGAACAGTAATTTTTCCAGTTTTTCAAAAGCAAAAGGGACTGCCACAATTTATGCAAACAGCCGAGTGGCTAGGCAATAAAACGCGGGAATCGTATAGTCGTTTTGCAGATGCAAAATAGAATGCAAGGGGGCGCTATTGAGATCGATTTACGAATTCCTAGACTATTTTTGCAAAGTTCAAATTTTTCGCGCCATTTACGAACGCCTATTAATGCCTAGTTACCACCTGCCACCAATCAGCGCTTGATTATACTAGGTACACGAGTTCATCTGTCCTATTTGCTTCATTCTTCCCCATTCCAATGTCTGGCCTTCTCTTCGAGGTTTTGAAGTATTTCAGAATGCCGCTAACCAGGGATTCTCACTCGGTTTTGAGCCCAAATGAAAAACCAGTCACTATCCCGGCCGTGGCTTCTGATTCGCCAATGTTCACCGATACCCCAGTGATCCATACGGTATTCCGCCACAATATTTTTCAATATTTTATTGACTCTCAGGTAAAGCAACATGAAGCTGATAGCTATGCTCGTTTGTTGCAATTAAATATGTGCTATGAGGTAAGGCTATTCTATAATCTTTATATAAATTTCAAGGCAATGCCAACAAGCAGTAAGATTGTCGTTTTCGATGCGAATTTGAAGATGGAGAAGGCGTTTAATGGGCTAATTTTTCAAAGTAACTCGATTATATTTCCTCTAATGCAAATTTAGACACGCGTCACGTTTTGATTTCAAAAAATGATAATGGGCAGGTTATCGGAATTTTATCAGTTACCGATTTTATCCGAGTGTTGTTGAAAAAGTGGAGGTATGCCATAGCTGATAGAAACATACTTTTGTCTTAATTTTAGGGAGCATCTAAACGATTCGATGGAAGTCGATTGTGCTGATATTGCTGATATGACCATCAGCCAATATAGAGGTAACCGAGAACATATTTTAAACGCCGCATATTCTTGTAGAACTCGCCGAGGCCGATGGCAAAATTTTGAATTTAATTACGATCCAAGGGAACCAGAGGTAAAAAGTCGCTCCGGCTCCTTACGGTGATCTATAGTATCCTGGAAGCGGCGAGACTTCTTGCGCAATATCGGATCCATCGTCTGCCCGTGATGGATCCGGTCAATGGCTCACCGCTTTTTATCCTCACCCACAAGCGAATCCTCAAATTCTTGTGGTGTTTTGTGAGTTGTTGAAAGTTTTAAAAATATCATTTAATTTAGGGGAGTCAGTTTTCGTTACCGGAATATCATGTGAAAACGCCGAAGGCTTTGGGAGTTGGGACTTGGGATAATCTGCGTTTGGTAAGTGAAGGTCCAGGGATGGTGCAAGGTAATTTTAGGTCTATGAAGATACACCGCTACATGAATGCTTGACGATTCTAAGTACAGAGAATATTTCTGGAGTGCCCGTGCTACAGAGAGGAACTGATAAGGTATAAAAATCATAGGTTTATAGACGATTATCTTTTAGGTTATGGGAATGTACTCTCGTTTTGATGCCATCGCTATCGCTGCCGAAAATGACCCCCACTATTTGGAACGTCCCGTTGTCGAGGCACTAAATTTCAAGAACTTCAGCAAGGTTTTTGAGTCACTATTAACACAACACCCCTCCCCACAGGATGCCGATTTCACGAACCTGGTCGTCTCAATTGGGCTGCACGATACCTTCTGGCAAGCTGTAGAAGTTCTCGTCGAGCGATCTGTGCACAGACTTTGCGTGCTAAATGATGCCGGGCAGGTTGAGGTTAGGTTTTCTCGAAGGAAGCAAATAATCTGTGGTGGGGTTTTTCCTTTTTGGTTGGGTGTGCCTCGGGGGGTCCCTGTATCGGGAACTTCTTTGAACTTATCCCTGAACTTATCGCTACGGAGTGGGCTGTATGCTAAAACCTGTCCCAGGCTCGTTATTGAGAAGAATGCGAAGGAGGTGATTGCGAATTGGTGTTTGAGGAGGGTTAAACGGGGGCGGGGTTATGAGAGCAAAAAAATTGGTTATTAATTGGTTAATTGATTTAGGGTCTCATCTCGTTGGCTGATGTTATCAACTATATGGTTGTGAAGCCGGGCGCTCATTTGGAATCGCCAAAACCACATCATTTGTCGCGGATGGCGAAAGTAGAAGATTTGAGTAACGAGGTAAAACCTAGATTTTTTAAATATCACGATCAACCCGGGATTTTTTAGGCACTCCGCCGGATTCTCGCCGGAAACAACGATATTGACCCGCCTAACGGACATCACTAACACTATTCGCTCCCACTTCCACCCTTTTAGGACTCTTCAATGCTTACTGTAGTAACACAGTTATGCCCTTGCCAAGGCTGTGCGAAAACGACTATGCGCCAAAAAGTATGAACCGCCTTGTCCATCTACCCCTTTACCTCTCTGACATGTTAGTGGTTTTATTTGATGAGCTTTCGAATAAATTTATTATATATGAAAACACACTGTAAGTGCTTGTGAGTGCATTTACTTCCAAATTCCGTCAGTCAGTATGTTTCAGTAACGTTTCTATTAGATGTCAGTAGATGCGTAATGGTCTTGCAATGACTGTAGCATTTTTTGGGTTTTTTTTTAAATTTGGTGCTGTTTCTACCTTGAACTAAAGTTTTTTTTTGCGAAAATCTCTATTTAGACGGGGTCTAATCCTAATAAGCCCCGGAAAGCGGTTTTTCAAACCTGGTTAAAAGCTAATTTTTTTTCTTATGTCGGCAAGACAAAAAAAAAGACTTTCGGCCGGGGTGTGGGTTGGCAGATGTGGTCGGAGGCAGACAAAAAGGGCAATGAATTTCGGTGGTGGAGGAGGGCAGATCGGAACTTACGGGTGCCATTTGAGGTCGTCTCATCCCTCCACTTCCACCATCACGCCTCACACCACCCCGGGTTGCCAGTCATCTTTTGCGAGAAACCAGGAAGCTTCGCTTGCCCCGGGAGAACTTAATTGACGGAGTGGCCGGCGCGGATACGCTTAACAGTGGCGACCCTAGAAATAGTGGCTAGGTTCTTATCATGGAGCATGAGTGGAATTTAAGAGGAGAAAGTAAGTGTCGAAGCTTACTTTGACGTGGTTTTCCTATGAAACGATTAAATTGAGAGACCGCCTACTGGTACGAGGTTCGAAGCAAGAGACTACAGTGTTGCTATTAGTTGCGCGTACAGATGTGATAGGGGGGGAGGGGATAAATTAACTGTTGGTAGACGCTGAGGAAATTCCACCGATGGTTCAAAGGATTTGAAATATGGCGTAACTACGTATATACGTAGAAATATTCAATTTTTGCCGATGTGACCCGCAACCCCCATTCAACATCTTACAATCGAATGCTCTCTACCCCCACATCACCATGAACTTTTTTATGCTGACTAGATCGCCAACAAGAAAAGTTCCGGGACAAAGTCCCAAGTTCGGATGCGCCACAAAAAGTTCTGCAACATCCCCCGGACAGCGGCACCAAAATCTGAATGCCATCGCGGAAGTTCTCATTGCGCGAACGTTGGGGATCGCGGAAGTTCCGCGTTTTTGCAAGTTTGGATCTGCGAGCACAAAATGGCAGGGTTCCTGTTTTTGAAGCTTGCTGAATTTTAGGGCTGGTTAACGGGATTCAATTGTACCAACGCCTGGCGAACACAAATCAGTGGTTTGTCAGGCACAGTATCTTGTGATCTGTTCGAGCATGAGGTCAAACGGCTAGACGATGAAGCGGGTCGAGTTCTTTGTTGGTGTTTCTTATCTGAATAGAACTTGTTGTTCGCTGATTAACTTGAGCAAGAGCGTAGTATTTAGTGAAGCGCTTTGAGAAAATTACCTTTCGCTAGTAATAACTTGTCAGCTTATCCTTTTTCACGGTTTAATTTTACTTCGAGAGTTCTTGACTCAGCCATCGCAACTTCTAGCCATTGACCCTTTTATGACAACCAAACCAGCTTCAACCCCATCCTCCGTAAATCCTCCATTGCCATATCACGACAAAGGAAAAGTTCCAGACGATCTTTCGTCGCACCGCCCCCTTCTTCCTTCCGTGGGAATCATGCACGAAACAGACCAAGTTCAGCAACAAAAGAGAAGCCACCTCGAGGAGAAAACGCGAGGCACAGAGGTCGCAGTCTCCACCCACCATCTTCTTGGCACGGAAATGAGGGGGATATCACCCGCTTCCTTCTGCACTTATCAATTACAACATGAATTCCTGCTAAGCATCCCGCTTCGCCACGCCCCCCGGAAGTCTCAAAACATTCCCACGCTCTTTCACGGACGCCACTACAACCGACACCTCTAAATCAGTTAGGGGCTCGGGGAGCTGAGCCGGCCACGATGAAGGGGTTGCTGGGGCTTAGCCTTCTACTTCCGCTGTCCTTTGGATATTTTACGCCGCACTTTCGAGAGTACTTGGTAACTACTTATGGCAATGATACGGCCAAGGAGCTGGAGCGAGGCGATCTCGGAGAAGAAGGCAGTTACGGTGGAAAGGCAAACTCGACACAAGCGTTGAGGCACAAAGTAACTACTTATAATTTCGGGGTTTACTTCATGCTGTTTAGCCCGCAGTTCTGGTGCATGGAATCGGCACTAACGCTCAGAAGTGGGTACCACTCAAGAATTACTTCATGAAGAATGGATATACCGACGCCGAGGTACAATTCCGAGATGTCAAAGGCTTATCAAATGTTTTCTAGATTTACGGCACCACCTGGGGAGATCCTGACGAGAACATTATTTTTGTGTCGGTGCAGTGCACCTATGTACGACAGGTGAGGAGTAGTACTATTACAGCTTCCTCTTAACCTCACGTAGATTTTAGACCGGGATTGTTATTAAGCCAGTTCATATTTTGCAAAGTTTGTAATCTGTCCTTGAAGGTTTTCGCCCTCGCAGTTTAGTCGGACTCATCGTAAACACACGCGATGGCAACCCGTTTTTAGGTGCGTACGCTGATCGAGGCCGCCCATAATTACACGAAATGGAAAGTCGATATTGCCGGCTTTTCCTTGGGGTCGGTGATTGCGCGGAAGGCGATTCTAGGTAAGGATTGGTTAGAACGTATGAAATCTGTGATTTTAGGTGGATACTGTCAGGGTGAGGATCTTGGAGGCCCGCTGACTGATATTGTAAGTTTTGGCCTAATCTTCATTACATAATCTTGTTTTCTGCGTACTCCTAAGCAAAAATTTCTATTTTAAGCGATTAAACTCTTTTTTATAATCAGTATCTAAAAACCTAATTCTATAATTTTCGAATTTGGCAGCATTTTTGATTGTTGATCGTAATCGCCTCCATCTTCTGATTGTGCCGAAATGCGCCCCGAAATCGAATTAATCGCCCTTGAACTGCGGAACCATTCCTCAAAATCGTTCCGAGAGGCGGCGCCTTTTCGATCCCCACCGCGTGTTGATGGCAGCCTTATCCGAAAAATCGAATTTTCCTGTCTAGTTTCGCCCTTCCCACGGGAAACCCTCGCACTATGCGTGGGATGATATTGTCGTCGTGGGTAAAGGCAACCATTGAAACATCACGGGACTTTATAGATCGACACCTTCGTTTCTGTAGCCGGTCCGAACCGTGGATCGGCCATGTGCGAACAGTTCACGAACATCGACCTATGTAACACCGACAATGGCTTGGCGTGCGATTCGTCCCTTCTGGTGCTCTAAATTATCAAGAAAAGACGCCTAAATTTTTAGTACGAATTGAACAACGTCGGTCATCGGTATGAAGGAAAATTCTCATTTGCCGTTCACAGTCAGAAAGATGAGAAGGTGAGGGAAATAATTTGAGACACAGTTCGTGGTTTGGGCTGTTCGGACGAGTGCGAGCCTGATCTGGGCTAATTATGCAAAAACTATGTTGCTATCCTGGGAGCCTAAAGGGGGTTTCGTGCTCGAGGGGAAAGTTAGGGTTCTGATAAATGGGCGCAAGGGAGGAACAGCACTTACTGTAGATGTGGATGTAAAAGGAGTTCAGTCCAAAACACGAAATTGCAGATTGGTAACTGGTGTTGTGGGGAGCGATGTGGTTCGTTGCCGCATAGTCAGCGAGAATTTGGAAATCATCAGGAGCATCACAATTTGCTGTTGCTCAGGTCAGCTCGGGTGTCTTTTTACGAACACCTTTGGAAAGAGACGTAAAAACAATCTATTTTAAGGTCTACACGCTTGATCTACGACCTTTTTTGGGTGCATAAAGCCCGACCGCCAGGCAAGAAGGCAAATGCCACAACAACAGCAGCCCCCACAAACTCCACAATAATTTCATCAACAATTATTGAGTCCAATAGCACCATAACCAGTAATTCAACCTCACCCACTTCCAAAGATTATGGCATTTTTGACGGATTTAATTTGTCGGCACATTTCGTTCAATTTACCATTTCCGGCTGTATGGTCTTTAGCGCCTGGATAATCTTTGTCGGTATTGTATTCGCCCTTGTTCGTCAGGCCTCCTGATGTCCCAACCCACATTACATCTAATGTACAGATTCCCAACATTTCCCAAAAATCCCAGGTATTCTTGTGCGGTTATTAATTTATTGGAGCCGGCAGCTATGACGTAGAAGCAGTTACAGAACCGTAGTGGAGTGCAAGGGTTCGTTATTCGAACGGAGCAATAGAATAAATTATTATTTATTAAAAAAAGTGTCGTGGTCATTTAACAACGTTGAACCCAATGCAAGCGTGAGAGTAATAAGAAAAAACTATAAAGGAAATGAACGGCAATATCCGGTTGACGATTTTGTGTGCGCCAAAATATTTGTCCAGAAGGCAACAAGTAAAATGGTTGTCGGGGGTTATGTTTTACTTTTAGATAGAGCTGATCTGTTTCAGATAGATCTTTTAAAAATTCGCGAATTGGCAAAATTCAAGTTTTGAAAACTAAAAAAGACACTAAAACTAAAAAAACGGGTAGAATTTAAGAATCTTCAAAGGATGGGGTTTATTGGAAAGCTTCAAACCCTTTATCACAAGTGATTCACAGGACAAAGCTCCCATAGAACCTACAACGACTCCCTGTAAGGAATTTCACAATATTTGCATATGCAGAATTTTGACAAGAGAGCCAAATCTTCCCCATGAAAAAATTGTATTTACGCCGGAAGGCTTTCAAAACACGAGCATAATTCGAAAGCGAAAAAAACGGAAATCTGCTCCATTTATCGACTGCTTCTCCAGCCTCCCAAAAGCAATTCTCGCATTCAACCCCGGATCATCGTTCCCAGGGCAATCCTTTGACGATGCCACCCAACCCCGCTGCAAGAAAGAGTCGCTTTTCCGGGCCCGGGGTTGCGCGGGCTTTCATGTGATTCGTGCGTATTCAATGAGGTATATCGGGGTGGATCACAGGGAGATGGGACCGGCCCTAAGGTGGGGGGGCATTTGATGGGATCCCGTTTGGTGTCTCTGATTCTGTCGATCTGTGTGTCTGTGTGTGGTCAGGTGTACTCCTCAAAAAGCCTCTATCCAACCCCCTGGACGACGAGAAGGGGTCGCTTTAGGCGGCACAAAAGAAAGAAGGAAGGGGTATCCATCCAGAGAGGGGATAGATTGTGAATGGGAGGGGCGTGAACCTTCAGAAAACCTGGCAGTCGTTAGGGTGGTTGTGGCTGATGGACGGTCCTTGGTTCACTACTTCAAGCTCTCGAGTCAGAATGGCTGGCCTCAGGTTGAGAGCCATGTGGCTGCCCGTCTTGGTGTTGGGGCTTGTTTCGACGGCTGATGCCTATTTTACACCTGACTTCCAACAATTTGTTAATAATTCGATGGGCCCGGATGTGCTGGCGATATTGGAGCGAACGGATTTGAAGGAAGATGGAAGTTTTGGTGGGAGGACGGAGGCTGGAGAAGCTATTAAGCATGAGGTTTGTGTAAATTTGTACCATACTATCTCTATCGAGGCTGCCATTAATGCGCCATTTCAGCCAGTCATCCTCGTTCATGGAGTAATGAACAATGCAATGCGATTCTTCCCTGTCAAACATTTGTTTATGACAACCAATAATTATTCTGAAGCGGAGGTTGGCGAGACATCCGGTTTTCCATCCTATGCTTTCCTTTTCCAGATCTATGGAACCACTTGGGGCGACCCTGATACCCTGTTGATCGACGTTGTCATCCATTGTGAATATATCAAACAAGTGGGTATCAAAGCTAAATATGCCTAATTGTCATAAAGTCATAATAATCCAGTAACTTTAGGTCAGAAATCTAATACAACTTGTCCATTCCTACACCGACCGGAAGGTCGATGTCATCGGCTATTCAATGGGATCCGTCATTTCCAGAAAAGCGATCCTCGGTAGGCAGCAATTTTTGGAAAATGTTGCCACGCTTTCTAAATTACGCCCTTGCCGAGCGCCCTGTGGCGATTAGCATTTTTAGTCAAGGGCGGAGGGAAAGATCCGCGGCGTCCACGAGCAGGCAGCCCCATCCACTTTTCGAAATTTCGACCAGATCCCCTAAATCATCAGCCCATTTACAGGTGGCAGTTGCGATGGGGAAGATTTGGGCCGAGCATTAACAGAGATGGTATGAAATCTATTATCCATTAAGAGGATATCCATGTGGTTTATAGATCGATACCTTTGTATCCGTAGCCGGTTCGAATTATGGGTCAACATATTGTGAGGATTACTCCTATATGGATGTTTGTAATTCGGTGAACGGGTTGAGCTGTGATTCGGAAATTTTGGTAAGTGTTTTTCGGTCATGATGAATCGGTAGATTTTGGTAATATCCTTCTGAAAAAAAAAGAAAAAGAAAACCGGAATTTCAGAAAGACATCAACTCCCAAAAAACCCGCTATGAGGGCCGATACACCTTCGCGATCGCCAGTCCCATCGATGAGAAGGTTGGAGGCTAATCCCCGATCATAAAGAAGGCTTTTCCAGATTGGAGACGACTGCTGCGGGAATAAATGCGCCTCCCTGCCCCGTGCCGCGCAGGAGTTTTGGGGATTGAAGCTGAATCACGATAAACTGATGCTTGGGTGAGTCTTGGTCAAAATTTTACAAATTTTATAATTTAGTTCTGGCGCCTTACAAATCGAACTTGTCACCCAACATCGACGCATCAAAGCCCGACTCAACGCCAAAATGCCAGTAACCCCTGCCCCGAAGGTCGACCCAGAAGCCATCGATTGGAAGGAAGGACAACTACCGGAAAATACCCACCTCAGCATTTCGAGCAACGCGAAAACGCCGTTAGCCCACAAAGGAACCGCCAAACCAAACCCTCTAAAGGAAACGAAACTGAAGAAAGACTTCGACATCCTTTCAACGATGATCGGACAAGAACGAGCCAACCAATTTGCGTTCGGATTCTCTGGAGGGCCAACTGATGAACTTAAAGTCAGCAGTGGCATGGAAAAAATGATTAGAACGACGAACCCACCAAGGGAATTAATCGAAACTGGTTTTGAGAACACTGAGGTTCAACCTAGTTTCGGAAGAACGCCGGAAATTCAATCTGTCTTTGGCGATAGCGGGCTTATTGGAGGCGGAGGACGAGGTCCATCTTCAGAACCTGACGACGCCATCCATATCGAGGGTGCCGTGCAGGAAGAATTGTCGCCGAGTCCACAAATCGAAGAAATTGCGCAAGAGGGGCTTCCAGAAAAGGTGGTTCACGTTGATGCTCCACGAGAACAAGAAGGGCGACTAGACAGAGCGCTTGCTAGCTATTTGATTAAAAAGAACAAGAGAAGACTACCAAAAAAGACGGCTCAAAAGTTGCGCATAGTTAGCTTGCACGACAGTGAAGCATTTGCGATCACCAAACCAACGCCAACTACAAGGGAGCCGAAGAAGTACAAGAAGCTTCGTCCTCAGAAGCGGAATCTCAAGAAATCCGAATTGGCAAAAAAACGCGGGCGAAGGGGTGAGAGCAAGACAAAAGAATATATCAGGGGTGAGCTGAAGCCAAAGGAAATTATCCGATATATTGACTGCCCCGCAAAACACTGATATTTTTCATATATTGTTTTTTTTTGTTTGATGATCTGGATCTCTTTTGTGGTTGCTCACGACAATATTGGGTGCTGGGTTTTATGTACATCTTCAAAGAAATAAAGATTTATACACATAGGCCTAAAAAAACAGGCAATCTATAGTAAGGAACGATGAGCAGTACATAGAATGGCATATAATGAATTTTCGCGTAATTTGTCTCTGGATGGGAAAGGGGTATGGAATAGGGGGGATTTTAGGCTGTAATTGCGTTGATCCATGTATTGCCTGGTTGTCTGGCTGTTGAGATCAGGGGAAAGGGGTGTTTAGACGGAGCTAAAAATGGAGATTAAGCTTTTGAAATCGAGAGGTTATAGATAGGAGTTGTCTATTTTAGGATCTATGTTAATTTAAGCAAAAAAATCCTTACATTTTTGAGGTCTCCGTAATTGAACTTGAATAGCCTAGATGGTTTGTAGAGTTTGGAGGACAGTCGACGGCTTGTTCGTCATTTTCAACATTCCGCCTCCACCGTTCCAACTCTTCATACTGCCGATTTTGCTCTTCTTGTTCGGCAGTTACAATGGTTTGATACACCTAAAAATAATAGAATAAAGTAAAAAAGACAAATTTTCATACCTTATAGTTAATATGGCATCCATCTACCCAGTTGATCTCCTTCTCGGCACTCTTCTCATCCAAATAGGTATACACTTCCGGGGTGGTCTCAACGAAAGCGATGCGTCCGACCTTTCGCTCAATTCTTCTTCTTATCCGCGTCTCAGCGGGGTGCAGGATTGACGATGTGGAGGGTTGGTTCTCATTCAAATCCACGAATTCGAACCGGGGCTAAAATCTGGGTCTTAAAATCGCGTTTTTAAGCTCACATTTTCGCTCATAGCCTCGAGAAGCATCGGAATATCCTCCTCCATCACCAAACTGATCAGCGAATTCCGGACTGGATTACCATCGCCGGCCATTAGGGGCTAAAATATTAAGTTACATTCGAAACGTTAGGCGGTCGATAACTGCAAATTAAACTTTTCGCTGAAACCAACAATATTTTGTGTTGAGAAGCCGTTGAGAAGGGTTAGAGGCGGTGGCTCGTCATCGGAATCACTTTCACTCTCCTAGAATGCCAGGTTCAAAGAGGGGGAAACGCTGATTAAACATTTCCCCGCTTGGGTTAGAAGGGCAGACTGCTAGAACGATAAAAAATTTGCCTGGCCTTAATTTAGATTTTGCTCATACTGGGTTGATCCTTAATTTAAAAAAAAACAGTAGCCGCTCGGTTCAATAAAATTTTATAAGCTTGCAAGGATAATAAAGCATGCCTCGGGGATTTCACTCTGCATCACTTCAAATTCAGTTTCGTTCAAATGTCGCTCAATTGCTTCCACGTTCGGCACCTCCTCCTCGCTTTCCAACGCCTTCCCAGAAGCCTCATCTATCGAATCCGCATCAAAATCCGCTTCCGGCTCGTCTCCATCGTCAAATTGATGGTGAAGGGCAAACGTATACTTTGCCCTTGTTCCAGCGGGCTCTTCTTCGATACTGTATTCAGAGGGTGTGGATCCGATTGATACTGCAGAATCGACAGTGGATGTTCGTGCCCTCTTCGCCTCTGCCTCAACATCATATTCCATATCCCCAGCTTCGGATACTTCGGTGCCCTCATCTTCCGATTCCTGAAACACACTCCTAGTCTGGGATTTATTCATGCGAGGAGGTTATCTCGTTCATTCAGAGGTGGCGCGCAAAAACTGTGTGTTAAGCTTACACTTTCAAAACTTAGTGTTGAGAGGAATTGGCTGGGGTGTGGCTAGAAAATTAAGGATTGGCGCCCTCGGGATTGAAAGCACACGTTAGTATATGTAATACTTACCACCCGGATGGTAGCATCATCTCCATAGGGTTTTGGGGAGACGAGAGGTGATGTCGGGGTTGGGGAGGTGTGGGTTTTTTGGGCTTGTTGTTCAAGAAATTGGGCGCTGAAGCTCTTTCTCACTTGAGATGTGGGGACAGGTTCTGGGGTGGGTTCGACCCTGAAATAGAGATTTATATTCTACTACTATGTATTTTACAGTACCTGTATTCTTGAATCGGCGAGGCAGGTGGTGGTGGGGCTGGCCTTCGAATTGGTGTCTCATCCTTAGGTTGTACACTTGGGCTACCATCTAAAATTACGGGGTAAGGATGACCATTTAATTTTTTTGGTGATACTTACAAGTTTTTAATGCCGCCGAGCTCCAGTGGAATTTAAATCTGGTCCCTCCTTCCAAGACACTCATCTAATAAAAAGCAGATGGTAAGAGGTTTGTTTCAGGGAATGAGGACAATAGGCAATAAACAGAGTTGAAGCACAGAGAAGGACGGGGGAGGGTGGGCTAATCTGGAGGTGTTGAGAGAAATGGGAATAGACTCGGGGCACAATGAGCTTTGGGCGAGGCAAATCCATGACTCGCCAGGCTGCCCCGGTGCCCGATAAGATTGTTTGGTTTCCGCATGGAAAAAGTGGCTATGATGGGCCATTTTAGGGAATATGTGGGTGGGAAATACTGGCACGTGCTGGCGGTTGGAGTAACCGGAGAAAAGGAACACGAAATTTTTGGCTAAAAGCTTGAGAAAGTCTTTTTTATAAAATTTTTGGGCCAGGAAAAGGCAAAATTTTGACGGCTGGGAAGAAAAGCTCAAGACGGTGGCGCAAAGGCATCACCCAAAGAATTTATGATCAAAGGGGGAGCGAGAATAGGTCGGGGGCCCGGCGATTCTGGTGCAGAGGCGGAATAGGAAATCAATGTCGTCGACTTGTTTCGCCATATGGAAACATGGGATAAACGGTGGAAATAAAAGGGTCTTTGATCTTGTAGATATGCACCATGCATATCTTTTTCCCTCTGACATACGATCAAAATTCTATTTAAAGGACAAAAAATGGATGGATAGGGGGGTTTTGGTTTGGTTTGGTCTAAATCGGTCCATTTTATTGCCTCTTCGTGTATTTTGGTCGATCGAAGAACAGTAAGCCGCCATCTAATAAAATTGTCTTTAAAAATTTACTAGATTTGCCCGATATTTAAGGAAATACGATTGTTATACATGTTAAAATAGACATAATAAATTCTATTAACTGAAAGTCAATTATCTTTACGTTATAGGAATAAAAAAAAAGTGATTTTTCTTAAAACATAGCCAAAGCTAGACATTCCAATTCGCATAAAATCAAATCCCAGCTTGGATTGGTTCGGGGGATTGATTGAGGGTTTGGGCCAAGCAACGCGCGCGCGCCGAAGCCAGCAATTGCGCAGGTGTGTAAGCTGGATTTATCGAAGGGGGGTAAGAGGGGGGAAAGAGCCTCTCGTGCACCCGTAGCGGAAGTGGATACTGACAGCCGCCCCACCAAATATATCTCCGCTTTTGTTTTGGGTGCAGCCGGATGCGGTAAATATACATAATCGCGCTTGGGGTTTGGGGCTGGCTCGAACCCGCGGGGGTGCTCAACAGTATTATGGCCAAACAAGGGTCATTTCAGGGGAGCGTCAAGTGGGGGGTGTGGGTGCCCCCGGGTCAACAGGGCTTTATGTCATTGGGTCAATGGCTTCGAGTTTTATGGAATGTCAATATTTCAGATTTTTCGACTGTAATTCAGGGTCAAAGCTGTGCATGCATTAATTTTTAATAAATCGAGTGGTTCAAATTAATGGAATATCAAAACTACGATCTTTACAAAATTCTCTGGATTTACTACTGTTTGTCAAATATACATAAGACACAAATTAACTAGATCTTCGGAAATTCCATCTTTCTAAAGGTTTGGAAAATTTTTCAGGGGTAATTACGACTATTCAATGACTCTGACGGCAACAAATGACTACCATTTCAGAGCTTGAAACTGTAATTCACGCTTCTACAATCCTTAAGACATCAAATAAAGCAGAAAAATCGTCTTTTGGCAATTGCTCACCAGACCACCCTGCTAAAATTATAATCGGCCTGTACGACTTGCAAATCCCCGTTGACGCCTGGTCTAGCTGTTGATAAAAGGATTGCCACCCGAACTGTGGTCCTACTCGGAAATCTCCCCAGCCCCTATCACAACTAACCACAAAGATATACCGAAAAATATGCCCACCCAAAACCCCGAGCCCCAAAATGGGGACCAGGTCAAGTGGAATGCGAATTTTCCCAAGGACAGGTACAAACACAAGCCGACAGGCGTGAAATCGCCCAATAAAACTAACGAAAAACGGCCAAAACTTATCGCACACACGTCTCGACACCCAACGAACCGTAAAATAGAAGAGAGACGTGAGGAGGGGTGTCCGGGAATGCAAATGGTCGGTAATAAATTGTTGAGGTTTATGGGCAGGAAATGACGCAGATTGGCGAGGGGAGGTTTATGCGAAATTTGGTCGAGCGGTGATCGCTAGGGTTTTGCAGATTCTGACGGCTTGGTAATGCTTCAGATTTTAGAGGGAATGTGCTAATTGGAATTTCTACCCAGAATCCATTCTGCAAAAATTTATTACACGGAATTTCCGGACTACGAGGTATGTGGCCGTAATATTTCATTACGGCAGGATAGAAAATTATGAGGCCGGAAAAGATGGCAGGAAAGAAGAAAAGAAGAAAAACATGTCATTACGGCATTCAGCGTACTTCTTCTCACTTATTCAAATGTCAGTATAATAGTAAAAGGTTGGCCAAATCGCAATTTTAAGACTATGCAGTTTCGTTAAAAGATGTCGTCGAGATGTTTCAATGCCCGTTTTTCCTTCGCCCCCACCGACAAGGGCAATTTTTAGGGAACAGGGAATCAGGAAAAATAAGCAGCTTTTCTAGGGTGGCCGTCCCAAATCCGCGCAGTGGTTTGGTCAGTCGGCCTTGGTGGAAGGAGGTCTTTGTCCAAACCAGTAGAGGTACCAGGCGGCTTTCCCGCACTCCACCGCTCACCTACTACCATAAATCTTTCACTGGAATATGGGGGGAAATGATGGGCTGAAAAAAGGGGGGATGAGGATGGAGACTGTGGTGTAGATGAGGTGGAAATGGTTTTGAGGGGGCGGCGGACGGCTCTTTCAAATTGGTTTGCCGTAGCAAATTGAGCACCACATAAAACAGCTGTGGACTACGGGGGTTGGATAGGTCAATTGAGGGTTGGTATCCGGTTTGTGTGGATTGGGGGAAAGAGAGAGGGAGAGAAAGAGAGAGAGCGCATAAAAAGGGTGGAGAAAATTTGAGTGAGCACTTGTGACCCATATCATGGATCGGGATACCCCACCACACACGTAGAAACACATTTCCCGCCTCCCCGTGCTTTTCCGCAATACTCACTTTTCCGTAGAGAAGCAGTGAGAGAGAGCGAGAGAGAGAGGGAGGGAGGGGGGAGAGGGAAGAGCCATTCAGTGGTTGCTCTTGCTGTCACGAGCTGATTTATGCGGAATCGGGTGCCTTGAAATAGGAGGTGGCGATGTTTTGGCAAATATTTGGATTTATGGGAAAATAAACGGTGGGAGGATGTTGGAAAAATAAAAAACACTCTTAAAATCTGCCGGAATGGTAAAAACATAGATGAGGGCCTAACTTCAGCGTCATGAAAATATTTTTTGTGTTTTCTCGACGATAAGAATTTTTATTGATCGACGATATTTTTTTGCGCTTTTTGAAACCTAAATAAATTGTAATTAAAATTTTCGAACCATCTCGATTTTCAGAAAATATTAGCAAAATTACCAAAATTTTTTAAGACGTATATAATCTGGTCTACGCTTTACAAGCCATATCTGCATCATCAAACATATGCACCGTGCCGAACGTTACGAATTCGCACCGCGGCAATGTGCCTATGATAAGGGGGAAGTTGTGAGGAAAGACAAGGGCGATTTTGAGGGGAAGTGTACAGAACCCGGCAGAAGAAGAGCCCCAGGGAAGGAAGGCTTCTAAGGCTTCCAGGCCTTCCTTGGGCAAACAAGAAGCGGTGCGGGAGCCTCCGGGTTTCTACCCCAGATCACACCTCGCACCTCGAAAGCAAGGTTCGGGATCGGTTGGTGAAGCTGGTTGGTGACTTCCGGGAAGGGTGGTGGGATACGAAAAGTACGCTTATTTGGAATATATCACTACCGCCTATATCACACTATCGCCTTGGAGATCTTTGGAGAGACACATACAAGCACTCGTTTTCGGCGGACCTTAGAGTTTTACAAGGCGGCATGGATCATTGGATAGAGTCTAAAATTCCAAAAAAAACCCAGCTTTCAAAAATTTTTTAGCGGTCGTGAGATTGAGAAAACTTTTTCAGAGATTAAATTTCGTCAATTGGGTTCAGGGTCACATTCAGCTAAAAACTTGTAATATCGGCCGGTAAGGGGCCATTTTTCAGACTAATTGTGCATAATTTTTCAGGGTTTAAAATTTGCGAAAATCATATTCCGAATTTTTGCTCGTTATCCCGCATAAAAAATCTCAAAATCATCTAAAAACACCCATGTCGTTAAAATGTATAGAACGCAAAAATATACACTTCAAAGTACTGTAGCCACTTCAAAGCCACTCAAAAGCTGCTATAATTACACGAAAAGCCGCAGAGGATCGGATTTCTATGGCGCTGGGGGTGACTGTGGTGGGTCCGAATGGGCTGGAGGTGCGGGAGATCTACGCCCCCCATAATTTGGCGGCAAACACGCGGCAGAGTGGATATTTGGGGACGGGGGGAAGGGGGGGTGAAGCCGCTAGAGGGGGGCTAGGTGGGGGATACACACTCAAAGCACCATTGCAGGGCTGCAGCTGGCAGGCATGGGGGGGGGGCTTGAAGGTGCCAACGCGAACCGGTACTCTGATTGCCGGGGTTCTGGGAAAATAAATATATTGGTGCTCGGGGATTTGGGTGTGGGCGCAGTTTAGCAATCATTGGAGGCAGCATAATTCTGGTGATTGATCCATTTTTAGGTGCCATAGGCAGATGGGAGGTAGGCCTAAGGGTATGAAAGGGATGGTTCGGGTAGAACTGGTCGTACTCAAATTAGATGCTTAATAAAACCTGAGGATCGGGCTAGGCTTGGTTTGCTTCTTATTCAAATATGCAAATTTTTAACCGTACAACATCAAAATGTGCAGCTCTTTATGGTACTGAGCTGCAAAAGAAATTCCATTAAACATGATTTGCATCAAGAAATCTAGGTTCTTCGATAACAACCGGAAATTTAAGCAAATTCACGTATTCAAGGCTGGATTTGATTTGTTTCTTGATGATGATTAGAAAGAATTGATGGAGCGGCCTTAGTTCAGGACAAGGGGTATTTAAAATTCAAGCGCGGCTTAAAACAATATCAACCCAACCCCTTAAAGAACCCTCGAATAAAATCACACCCCTCAAAACTAGTTTTCGAGGCTTTACTGCAAGCATGAAAAGCAGTGGAAAGACGGAATGGATGTGGGACAAGGGCAGGAAACCAGTGGATCACATCGGCCATCTAATTGAGATCGCATCTAGCCGGGTCCCCCTCCCCCGTGTAGTGTGCTGCTGCCGCGAAAGGAAATGGGAAATCCCGCACTCGTGCGCGTGGGGGCGCGCTTGCACGTGTTTTTCGCTATTGTTTACAGAAATAGCCGACGTGTGTGAGTGTGAATGGGTTGTGGGCGCGAAGCTGTGATTGGGAACACCCAGTGGTAATGTGATCAGTGAAATGCTGGAATTCCAGGCTGCGGGAAGGGGTGGCGCGCCCAGATGGCCCAATCTGGTAATTAGATTTGAGGCGCGTACTCGTGAGGTGATACTATGTGGCATGTTACTACCGAAACTCCTTACTGCTAGCTCTGAGTTCTAAGTAGGATATTACAACCCAGAAACCATACACAGAGCGATATATCGCATCTGAATCGGAAAAGAGCCATTTAAATACGATACCATATAGGATATCAGACATGCATATCCAAAAAAAAAATGTAAAATGCAAACCAAAGATTTTATCTCGAAAAGAGTAAAGTTATGTACTTTTGGATGCATTTATGGGCATTCACGATTTTTCCTTACTCCGATTTCGAATGCATACTTTCTCATACCGTACCGGAACAAAAACACCTCTACTACAAAAAGCCCAAATTCCCCGCAATATGAGGCATCATAGCAAAATATTTGCGCGATTCCGTGTTTTATTGTAGAGAAAAGGAGGAGCCGTGGGATGGTCGGCGCGCAATTTACCGCCCGTCAAAGCTAGCCCCTGCACTTTTTTGGAGGGGACTGGCAAAGTGAGTGTATTGGATACTCGACGTGTCCAAGGACACTTTATACGGGCAATTGTGGCCGGTTGAGAAATGGGAAGTGGGTCTGAAAGGGTGGAGAATGCGGCGAAGGGTAAAAATTAGAGTTCCACTGGAGCTCGGGCGAATTAGGTAAGTAATAATGTATGTTTAAAAGGCCTACCTTGATTGTGTGCAGTGTTAGGGGGAGCCGGGCTGTCGGTACGCACTGTGATGTTTGTCACGTTATTGGCCGAGTTCTAAACGTTAAAATTAATAAAATTATGAAAAACGGAGCCTCGTCTGGCAAAGTTAAAAAAAATAAAAAAAGGCAAGCATAACCCAAAGCTAAATTGTATAATTTTCTCTACAGCATAAAAATAAGGAAACCATAGAAAAATTGATCCCAAACCAAGCCTAATTTTTTTAAATTTTTGATCGATAAGCTAAAAATAATGAAGCAAAAAAACCACACCGAATCTGGTAGCAAACTTAACAAAAAAATCGGCAAGCCGATGCCCCAAATAATTTCAATCTAGCAAATAATCTAATTTGACACAAAATTCGAATGGTGATTCAAGACCATTTAAATTCTACGGGATATATATTCAAGTTAGATAGTCTTTAGCATAAGCACCACAAAACGCGTGCAAGAACAAAGATACAAAAGTGCATTAACAACCTGATACTGGTGCGGGTGCATTACTCGCGGCTGCGTGGAGCGTGTAGGCAAAAATGAGGTGGTAGCCGAGAGGTCGCCTTTTGGTGGTATCGGCTCGTAGGTCTGGATTACCGTCGTATGGATCGTATGTCCAGTTGTTGTTGTTGCAGGCGCTGTGGTGTGCACACGCTAAACAAAATGAACTCAAAACAACAAAGGCAAAAATTACGCCACGCCAAAAACGAGAGTTAGTAAATAAATTGAAGTTGACAGGTGTAATTCTCACATCATGCTTTGGAACCTCGTTGTTCGGCTCGTCGAAGAGCTTCTTGTCCCTAGAGGCGTTGAATTTGGACAGCATACGCTTCATTTCCTCCTTTCCAGAGGCATCTAAAAAATATATTTTTCATTATTCCATAAAAGTGATACCATTATTTCGAGGTAGAATTTTTGGACCGGCGTAGGTTGCCGGCTGAGTGCGTAGGCGAGAGATTTGCTAAAAAACCTATTAAGCTTTATGAAATAAATACCACTGGAGGCTTCGGCTCTTCCGGTGGAGGGCTAACATCGGCTGATTGAATGACGGGTGCTTGTGAAGGCGAGAAAGCGGCAGGGCTACAGGAAAAAACACATAACTTAATAAAAGGTTGATGTCCTTACCGATCATCCCTAGCTGAATCTGGATCGGGCGGCGAGATGAAAATCTCTCGCTCCTGAGCCCTGGGTTCCGGCTTCTCACGGGATTCAACTTTCTTTGCGTCGCTTTTGTATTCGAACGTCGTCGTTTCCATGCGGAAATCAGAAGTTGGCCTGTGGTGGGTGTGCGAAACATGTATGGTTGATGAGGGGGGAGGGTGGGCTGTCTGTGATAGAAGGACTCTAGCACCACTGCTAAGTTCGGGGAGTACAGGAGCTGCTCGACGGACTGGCGGCATGAACACTAAACACAATGATTTACGAGCTATCAACTATTTTGAGTACCAGGCTGCGATGGGCTTGCCGAGCGCTCATGAATTTCACCAGTAGTAGCGCTGCGCGGCATAACGCGATGACGATCAACGTTCTCTTGCTCATCCTCAGCACGGTTAAGTACCTCCAACACCTAAAGAATGCTTAAAGTTATTCTTTTTCAGCTATGACGAATTCTGCAACAACTAAAAAGCCAGGATAGATAACTGAAAAACGAAAGACATGCGTGAACACAGACCCAAAGCTTGTTGCGCTGCGGCTGGGAGAGGCGGAGACGTGGAGGGTAGAAGTCCTTTCCAAGCAGAGCTTTCTAAACACACCACAACATAGAATAAAGGGGACAGGATAAGCAACGTAGAAACGAACGAAACCTTGGAAGTACTGTACCTCATGTGCGACGTCCATGGATCTGGGACGCGGCTTTTCGCGATGTTCTTCTTTCGTTGCGGGGCCGAATGCCTTTCTTGGAGAATGAACTTTAGCTGGAGGATGTGGCTGATTTTGAGGGGACAGCACGCGGTATGGTCGTTCGAAAGTCGGCTCCGGAGTCGCAACTGGCGTCGGACTGGCGATAGATGGGGAGCGAGAACGTTCGGCAGATTGAGACCGCACAACAGCCATATCCACCGGAGTCTGCAACCACAAGCACTTGTAAAAGTCTGTCAAAACTTCACGCTGCCCATGCAAAAACACTTAGCTATTGTGCTCACCTTATAACTCTGACGGTTTTCCCAGTTTGTCCTGCCTGCATTTTCTTCAAATTTGCGACGTAAGAAGCTGATTGATGGTAGCTGGACATCATCTTCCTCTTCCAGGTCCCTAAATAGTAATTTTAAAAAGTACCGATGTTTTCTGACCTCTTGATTTCGCGATGAACGACATATCGCTTCTCTGGATCAGCACTGCTGCCCCGGTTCATTCTGGGCCGAATTTGTTGTGGCTCGGGCACATACTGTGGCTTTTCAGGTTCACCCCAATTTCTGTCGAGCGTCACATAAGCTCTAAAAAGATGGCATTAGGCAGAAAAAAAACAAATTTTACCTTTCTTTCGGCGCTTGTGCCTCCTTGTCCAGAAGGATATCGTCGACGCTGGGGCATCTTTTGCAGGTAGCGTGTGGTGATACCTTAAAAACCGCTCGTAAATATATCAAAGCGTAGCTATATATATCATCGGTCTTGAATTTTCAAGAAAACTATAACTTACCTTTGCATTTTTAGTGGCCAGTCCGGATAATTTGGTGAACTTCGCACGCAGCCTTTCCACGATTCCAGGTCCGTACTCCACTTCTGAAAGATTCGAATCATTTCTATAAACTATTTACCACTTTCAACGATATTTTTTATTTTTATCTAGCTAGTTCTTATCCCCCTTAAATTCCCCCTAATCACCTTGTTTCCGCTCAAAGAATCTCAAATCTTGCAACGACGACCGATGAAAATGGTTCTTTTCTTGGAAGCTATTGCGTGTCCGACGCAGCTTTCTCGGAAATGGTTGATCATAATGTACAGCAACTTCAAGGTGGTCGATTGAGGCGGCCCTCCTCAACGACTCCACACGATGCTGGTTTTCCATTGGCAAATACGGGTCAATCTCATTGACTTCCATGAATTGGATAACAGCCGCCAATTTTCGAGGATCAATGTTTTGCAAAATATTTTCATAATTAGTGGGAGCACTTCTGGATCGACGATAACTATGGCGCTTTGATGCTTCGTAATGGCCATAATCTTGTCCTTCTGGATTCCAGGATACTTCACTGAGTTCGTAGTCAAGCGGATAGTCTGGAGGTGGCTCATCGCTGACATCTTGCAACTTCAGCTTTCTTTCGGACTGGCTTCTAGCGATTCGGCGTTTGAGAGTAGAGTTTTGTTGTAGCGGGCCTTGTTGCTGATATGAATGTCTTCTAGATGCACTATGTGGCTGACCCAAAGTTCTTAAAGGGGGTCGGACCACTTCGTCATAATGCTTTTCCGCTCTTCCGGTGCGCGCTGAGTCGACGTGCTTCTTGATTTTTGCGGCCAACGTACCAAGGGCTTGCATCTAATAGGTACAAATGAAGATATAGAGTTGTAGAGAAGAGTTTGGTGGATGGAAAGTATTGAGGAAAGGAGAAAGCGGGCATAATGACAGTCGAATCGTTCCACATTAGTGCGACAATTAAGGGAAGGGCGGATAATCAATCCAATCCAGGCATCCCCCTGGCTCGCCGCAGCTGTTCATCTAATGCGAGAAAGTGGAGATGAAACGGGAGAAATGAAGAGTGTACGAGAGATTTTTGGTAAACTATGATTGCATGTTTTCCAAGAAGATGTCTTGAAATCAGAGCCAGAGGCACTGTGAGGGTGGGTCGGGATAGGCAAATAGGCATGAGAGCGCTGTGTGAAAAAGCCTGTTCGACTCCTGAGCAAATTTCGAGCGTTAGGAAGGGGTCGAGATCGGGGAAACTGTGGGGGTTGGATTGATTAAGTGTGGGGGATTGGGCAGCGCGAATGGCGGGGCGCCGATAAATTTGCATATGCGGGATGTGGGGAGAAAGAAACCGGTGCGATGAAGGTTTCGAGAAAGAGGTGAAAAACAGGATGTGTTCTTAGAAATTTTTGAAAGATAAGAGAAGACTGGAAAGGGTGAATGACGTTAATTTAGTCAAATTTTTTAAATCCATGTTCTTAAACTTCAATTCGCCGAATTTTCTCTATGCATGCTAAATAGCAGAGCTGGTTTTTATAGGGTTAGAAAACGAGGTGCAAGAGCAAAATTGAATTCTACTGTAATATGGTTCATTGTACAACAGCTAAATTTTTAAACCTCTTCTGACTGGTATGCTACAATGAGCGAACAACGAAAGTAAATTAGCATTAATAAATCGCATTCGTCTAAAAACATGTAAAAAATGAAATTCCGATGAATAAGGCATGGACAACAAGAGAAATTGAACTTAATTAAATAAAATGCGATAAGGCATGCGTAATCTAAGATTTTTTGCATGATCCTAAAAACCAACAGTAAGGCATAAAGTTAGGCACCAATCCGACCGAAGAACTGGAGAAGCCGTCGGCATAGGTAGTGGCAAATGGTTGTGTGCCATGGGGTGGAAAGGGTGGGGAGTGGAAGAGTGGGGGCCATGGGTGTGTGAACAGGGAGGCACGCGGACGCGGATCGAGTAATCCGGACTGTGGGGGCGAAGGGGGAGAAGCCGAAGAGAAGCCAAGTGAAGAAGCTAGGAGAAGCCGAGGATGTTTGACAACGGGTTGACAGGCCCTCGACTCCATGACCCGGCAGGGCGCCTCTAATCGCCTCGACGACCCCGCCAATTCCGCGCGCCGGCGCAAAAACGCTTCAGAAGCATCGCCCCCCACCCCTCTTTTCACCCCTCGGCTTCTCGCGCCTTACCGACTAACCATTCATCACGCCATTTTAACCTCGGCCTCGCTCGATGGGGGAGTTTGTATCGGGAATTCTTGACCGGAAAGGGTGCAGGAACCGCGAGGAAAGGTTGTGTACAAGGTTAAGGTGGTTTTGAGGGATAGCGCAGGATACTTTGTTAACGATAAGTTAATGTATGTTAATTAATAATTAATTGTATGTTAATTAATAATTTATATGTTAATTAATAATTCGTCCATTGTAGACAAATTTTGAGCTTCATTGGAGCAAACTAATGTTAAGATCTAGACCCTCTTTATGCAAAAACAAGAAAAACATCCCTTAAACAATTAAGTTTGTACCCCGACTTGCTATATTATTGATCGATGCATTGACAGCGCTATTTGAGATTGTTTTCGCGGAAATAACGGTAAAAATTTGATGCAATTGAAAGACAATCGTAATTATTATTTACTTATACTCCAAATCGCCCCAGAAATGTGAATTTTCTTTGCATAGATAACGTACCAGAGTTTGACCCCGTCGAGGCGCGTTCTTCGTGCTCGGCTTTCATCACCGTCTTCATCTCCCGAGGCTTTGGAGGCTCCGGTGATTGCGTCGATATTCCTCTAAAACATCGTATGTCACAATATTAAAATGCAATTTATTTATTACTCAATGCTCAAATCTGCAAGAAAAATCGAGAAAACAGACCCCAAGTTTGAGACAGGCCGAAGGAGTGGCGTCGGGCTGGCACTGGGCGGACGGTGGAGTTGCACTAAATTGGGGGAATGTGGATTCATTGCGGGTGTTTTGTAATTGGGCATGAAACGTAGGTGAGTCATTTACGTCGGGACGGGGGATAGACAAAACTGATACTACGACAGATTGGGAGAAAAAATAACACGGTTATTTTTTCAAAATGTTGAGTTTCGCCTGATAAACCAAACGTTCAATATGGTATTGTAGCCTACCTTCAAAGCCAAAAACCGATTAATTCAAATATTTTTGCCAAAATGCGAATTAGTTTTCGGGGTATATGAAACCAAAAAAAACCGATTTCATAGTTTAAATATTTTGAAAAATGGTTTTTGAAGATAAACTTTAATATACTACTGTAGCATACCTTCAGTAAAACATGTTAATCTAAATCCAATAAAAAACACGCCAAAATATAAGATCTTATGCCATTTCAAAGTTAAAATCTATGAAATTCAGCGTCCTAAAAACTATCAAAATTGACAGGTCCGATCCGCTATCATGGTGCCTAGCCCAAAAAAGCCATAATTTTAATAATTCAAAAAATGTAGCAAAATAAGCTCCATATGGAATTTAAGCCAAAAACTTTGGAGTTCAGCGCCTAAACCACCTAAAAGACTAACCAAAGTGACAACTTGCTATACCCCGCACAAAATACTCGTTCCCTTTATCGCGCACCCCACAATACCCGGTGAAGAAAGCAAAATCGCGCACCCCATCCACCCCACCATCAATAAGCTTATTGAAGCCTCACCCTGAAACTGGCACCACCCCAAAAACCCACGCATAAGCTGTGCACACCCGCCAAAAAGAAGCATTTCCCCCTCGGATTAGCCGCATTCCCCTCCAATAAAGGGCGACTTAACGCGCCAAAAGGCTGTCTAGAAAAGCGGAGAACTATTTATAAGAAATCGAAATTTTCTGAAAAGCGAGACCCGGATTCCAATATGGTATAAAGGCCAAGAAATCGTGGCGCCCGTGAGTAATCAATTGCCGGCGGATAAAAGCTCGTTTACGCGTGCAGGGCGGGTCTCCACACCCTCACTTCAGAAAGATAAGGAAGAATTTTCAAGTGGACTCGGGAAGCTATGCCGGAAACGCGAGCACGTAAAAGGTAATAAGTATTACAAGAATTTTGTTGAACAATTTATAAAGCTAATTCCCTAGCGTGCCGCGCCTAAGCCGGTTAGAGCGGGGCCCCAAAAATGCAGAAAAACTTGGCGCGTCTGTTGATAGCGCTATTAGGCGGCCGTAAATTTTTTTCCAAAGATAATTCGAGGGGTCAGCGTTGTGGTGGACTAGGAGCAGAGTACATTCGGATGTAAAACTTGTAAAATATCTTATTTTTCTGGGGATTATATTTTCTAGGGGTCATGCCAAGAAGGGAAGCCTTGAGAGTTGATCAAAAAAATAATTACGAAGTGTTGAAAAATTAATCCATAGGCTTTAAAAGGTTGCAAGATTTTTTCTGGGAATTTAACCGTTTTAAAAACGTAATAGCTAAGGCACCATTGTAAAAAAAATAGCGTTTGCAAGGTAGGATACAATGATTCGGCAAAAATAAGTACGAATTGGTTAAAAATTATTTTTGAGTTAGCTGGCATGCCCCCTTTAAGATTCTATGCGTCACGTAGAGCTAACCAAAATGAGTAAAAATCAAAACATTAAAAAACTCTTTTAAAAATACCCGAAGACCAAGGGGAAGTTTGTGCTAATCTGTTTTGTCGGGCTGAAGAATGGACCGGGTGGATGTGTTGTGTATGCGAGTGGGGGAAGTCTTTACGGCATGCCGAAATATTTGCACAGGGCATGTCTCCCCCCGTCTGTAATGCGATTGGCCCGGGCCACATGAATTCACGAGCAGACCCCGCAACTGCATCTACGCCGAAGGCCTATCGCCTGTTAGAATGGGTTTTCGAGCTGGATTTAGGATCCTAGAGTACGTTTCGCTTGGTTTTCGGGGAAAAAAATCATGGTTAAATAACTTTAGACGTTTAATAATTGCTTATTAACTAAGAGTTAAGGAAACCCCGTTGAAATAAACGATTCATGACAAATGGAGAAAAAAAATTCGTATATTCTTACATATAAACTCAGGCCTTCCATTTCTTCCGGCAAAGTCCAGGAGGACTTTATTAAACGGGCTTCTATCTCGCGATAAATATTTTATAAATATGGATTTACTCGTAAATAAGCAGCGAAAAATTCATAATTTTTAACTGTAAAGACAATTTTACAAATTTTATATTTTGTATTGAAGGGGTGAATGTTACGGGAACGAATATTTCCTAAATCTAACCTGGCTTCAATGATACGTTCGCAAAACACGGCTTCTCCCCTGCACCACCTTGCGGAGAGTGGTGCCGAATTTGTCGAAAGTTGGTGACTCGTCTATGTGCCGCGTCGTTCTGAAAATTCACTATTTTTAGAGCAAATATCCAGATCCAGAAAATCCAGGAAGCCAACAGGATGTTGTCTATCGTGGCGGCAATATACCCAGGTGTCACTATCCGTTTATAGGCCTCAATACGACCGATGTGGGATCGTTTGGGGGAGCCTCATTTCCCTCTCCTTCTCCTCCCAAATCTCTTCCTCGCATCTGTGTCGAGGGTTCAAGGAGGATGGGCGAAAGTGGGACGTTTATTTCCAAGGCATCGCCGCAACTGGGTCTTTTTTTTGTAATGTATGCATTCCGCAAATACCGTAAGGTGGGATCTCGTCCAATTTTTTGGAAGGTTTTGAGCTCGGTCGGACCTTATTACAAATACTTTCATACCGCCAAACCATTGGATCGAGAACTAAAAATAGAAATGGCTCGAATAAATATGGAAAATGTGTTTTTTTTTACAGGAGCCAACAAAGAAAAATTAAAATGAGCATTTTCTATCGAATGGTATATAATTGTACCGATATCCAAA